CAGGAATATTTCCAAGTAAATTAAAAATCTCTAAAATTAAAACATTACATAAATCTGGTAGCAATAAGGACCCTTCTAATTACAGACCATTATCTATTTTGCCATGCTTATCAAAAATCTATGAGCGTGCCATGCATTCACGATTAATGAATTTCTTAGAAAATAATAGCTTATTTGATACTGAGCAACATGGATTCAGGCCCGGTAAATCTGTTGTCACTGCAACAATTGATTTGATAGAAACTATAATTGATGCTATTGATAAGGGTGAGAGCACTGTCGGGGTGTTTATGGATATTAGTAAAGCCTTTGATAGTGTCTGCCATTCAACATTAATTTCAATTTTAAAAAATTTTGGTTTTGCTAACAATGCTTTAAATTGGTTTCAATCTTACCTTGAAAACAGATTACAATATGTGGAAATTAATCATATAAATAATTTCAACCAATTAAGAAATGTAAAATCCTCTTTGAGGTGTATCAAATATGGTGTACCTCAAGGTTCGATTCTTGGTCCCATTTTATTTCTTTGTTATATTAAAGGTCTGCCAACAGCATTAACAGATAATATGGCAAAATTGTGTCTATATGCTGATGATGCAAATTTGTTGGTTTCTGGTAAATGTTTTAATAAAATACAAGAGTCGGCCCAAAACAATCTGTTATCTATAAAAAACTACTTAAACTTCAATAAATTATTTCTCAATTTTAATAAAACCAATTTTATGTCATTCAGTACAGCACAAAAGAAAAATCCAGAATTCTGTATTAAAGTAAATGATCTCCAAATTACTCAGGTAAAGGTAACAAAATTTTTGGGTTTATTGCTTGATGAAAATTTATCATGGTCACTCCATACGGATAAATTGTTACATAAAATTTCCTCGGGTTTATTTGCCTTAAGAAATCTGTCAAAATTTTGTTCCCTTGAGATATTGCTTAAGGTTTACCATGCACATATCAACTCACACATTACATTTGGTATTGAGTTATATGGAGCTACAAGTAATCAAAATTTACAAAGTATTCTAATCCTTCAAAAAAGGGCAATAAGAATCATGTTAAATCTGGATGATGAAGAATCGGCCAAAAAATATTTTCCTAAATTAAAAATTCTAACCGTTTACAGCTCATATATATTGCACACTATTATGCATGTGAGGGCTTCTGAAGACAAGGTGCCACTGCTGGGGGATAATCATAGGTATAATACTAGGCATAAAAATTATCCATCCGTAACACAACACAAACTGGAGTTTTATAACAAGAAACCAACAGCTGCAGGTATTAGGTTTTTGTACCATCTACCAAAAGAAATATTTGATATAAAAAACATTAGGTCTTTTAAAAAAAAACTTAAATTGTTACTAATTGATAGAGCATTTTACTCATTTGAAGAGTTTTACAACATGTAATTACATTAATTAAATTTTCCTGTTTTATTTAGTTTAACAAAGTATTTTTAATTAGTAATAAGCTGTTTTGACGCCATTCTGTATTTATGCATATATTTCATGTAGGTATATAATGTATAAATCTTGAATAAAGCTTTTCTGATTCTGATTCTGATTCTGATTCTGACACTGTCATCTCCATGGTGCCACGTGTATCTGCAATGTAACACTTATATGTAATACATCAGTGTGATGAGACCCTTGGCGTTGTGTCTCACTACATGGAACTGTTGACCAGAGTGCCACACGTTGGATGACCCGTTCTCACTCTCCAACTGTACACTGTCATCTCCATGGTGCCACGTGTATCTGCAATGTAACACTCATATGTAATACATCAGTGTGATGAGACCCTTGGCGTTGTGTCTCACTACATGGAACTGTTGACCAGAGTGCCACACGTTGGATGACCCGTTCTCATTCACCAACTGTACACTGTCATCTCCATGATGCCACGTGTATCTGCAATGTAACACTCATATGTAATACATCAGTGTGATGAGACCCTTGGCGTTGTGTCTCACTACATGGAACTGTTGACCAGAGTGCCACACGTTGGATGAACCGTTCTCACTCTCCAACTGTACGCTGTCATCTCCATGGTGCCACGTGTATCTGCAATGTAACACTTATATGTAATACATCAGTGTGATGAGACCCTTGGCGTTGTGTCTCACTACATGGAACTGTTGACCAGAGTGCCACACGTTGGATGAACCGTTCTCACTCTCCAACTGTACACTGTCATCTCCATGGTGCCACGTGTATCTGCAATGTAACACTTATATGTAATACATCAGTGTGATGAGACCCTTGGCGTTGTGTCTCACTACATGGAACTGTTGACCAGAGTGCCACACGTTGGATGACCCGTTCTCACTCTCCAACTGTACACTGTCATCTCCATGGTGCCACGTGTATCTGCAATGTAACACTCATATGTAATACATCAGTGTGATGAGACCCTTGGCGTTGTGTCTCACTACATGGAACTGTTGACCAGAGTGCCACACGTTGGATGACCCGTTCTCATTCACCAACTGTACACTGTCATCTCCATGATGCCACGTGTATCTGCAATGTAACACTCATATGTAATACATCAGTGTGATGAGACCCTTGGCGTTGTGTCTCACTACATGGAACTGTTGACCAGAGTGCCACACGTTGGATGACCCCTTCTCACTCTCCAACTGTACGCTGTCATCTCCATGGTGCCACGTGTATCTGCAATGTAACACTCATATGTAATACATCAGTGTGATGAGACCCTTGGCGTTGTGCTCACTACATGGAACTGTTGACCTGAGTGCCACACGTTGGATGACCCATTCTCACTCTCCAACTGTACGCTGTCATCTCCATGGTGCCACGTGTATCTGCAATGTAACACTCATATGTAATACATCAGTGTGATGAGACCCTTGGCGTTGTGTCTCACTACATGGAACTGTTGGACAGAGTGCCACACGTTGGATGACCCATTCTCACTCTCCAACTGTACGCTGTCATCTCCATGGTGCCACGTGTATCTGCAATGTAACACTCATATGTAATACATCAGTGTGATGAGACCCTTGGCGTTGTGCTCACTACATGGAACTGTTGACCTGAGTGCCACACGTTGGATGACCCGTTCTCACTCTCCAACTGTACGCTGTCATCTCCATGGTGCCACGTGTATCTGCAATGTAACACTCATATGTAATACATCAGTGTGATGAGACCCTTGGCGTTGTGTCTCACTACATGGAACTGTTGACCAGAGTGCCACACGTTGGATGACCCGTTCTCACTCTCCAACCTCCAACTGTACGCTGTCATCTCCATGGTGCCACGTGTATCTGCAATGTAACACTCATATGTAATACATCAGTGTGATGAGACCCTTGGCATTGTGCTCACTACATGGAACTGTTGACCTGAGTGCCACACGTTGGATGACCCGTTCTCACTCTCCAACTGTACGCTGTCATCTCCATGGTGCCACGTGCATCTGCAATGTAACACTCATATGTAATACATCAGTGTGATGAGACCCTTGGCATTGTGCTTACTACATGGAACTGTTGACCTGAGTGCCACACGTTGGATGACCCGTTCTCACTCTCCAACTGTACACTGTCATCTCCATGGTGCCACGTGTATCTGCAATGTAACACTCATATGTAATACATAAGTATGATGAGACCCTTGGCGTTGTGTCTCACTACATGGAACTGTTGACCAGAGTGCCACACGTTGGATGACCCCTTCTCACTCTCCAACTGTATGCTGTCATCTCCATGGTGCCACGTGTATCTGCAATGTAACACTCATATGTAATACATCAGTGTGATGAGACCCTTGGCATTGTGCTCACTACATGGAACTGTTGACCTGAGTGCCACACGTTGGATGACCCGTTCTCACTCTCCAACTGTACGCTGTCATCTCCATGGTGCCACGTGTATCTGCAATGTAACACTCATATGTAATACATCAGTGTGATGAGACCCTTGGCGTTGTGCTCACTACATGGAACTGTTGACCTGAGTGCCACACGTTGGATGACCCGTTCTCACTCTCCAACTGTACGCTGTCATCTCCATGGTGCCACGTGTATCTGCAATGTAACACTCATATGTAATACATCAGTGTGATGAGACCCTTGGCGTTGTGCTCACTACATGGAACTGTTGACCTGAGTGCCACACGTTGGATGACCCGTTCTCACTCTCCAACTGTACGCTGTCATCTCCATGGTGCCACGTGTATCTGCAATGTAACACTCATATGTAATACATCAGTGTGATGAGACCCTTGGCGTTGTGCTCACTACATGGAACTGTTGACCTGAGTGCCACACGTTGGATGACCCGTTCTCACTCTCCAACTGTACGCTGTCATCTCCATGGTGCCACGTGTATCTGCAATGTAACACTCATATGTAATACATCAGTGTGATGAGACCCTTGGCGTTGTGTCTCACTACATGGAACTGTTGACCAGAGTGCCACACGTTGGATGACCCGTTCTCACTCTCCAACTGTACGCTGTCATCTCCATGGTGCCACGTGTATCTGCAATGTAACACTCATATGTAATACATCAGTGTGATGAGACCCTTGACATTGTGTCTCACTACATGGAACTGTTGACCAGATTGCCACACGTTGGATGACCCGTTTTCACTCTCCAACTTTACACTGTCATCTCCATCCAAAACGGGCTACTCCTTGGCAACTCATTATATTATTAAGTCCACTTATTATTACTGTAAAATTTATTAAGAATACAAAGAACAATAATGAAGACCCTAGATAGAGAGTTAATTGGAAATTGTAAAGTACTTCTAGACCATTCAATGAAAAAAAAATTAAATAGTAAAAAATGTAATTAAATTGAAAAAACTTAACAACATCCTTCCTTCACCCAAACTATGTTCCAACTCCCCCGACAGGATCCTTTTTCCCAAAACCCCCTACTACAAGAACTATCATATAGTAATAATTTAGCAGTGAAAACCAATCCAAATAGTGCATAGCAAGATATTTCCTGTCTTACCTGGGGTCCATGTTTATAGTGTGAGCTCCAGTAGACATGTTAACATCCACCACAAAAGTGTCATCCCTTGGACTAAGGAACAAGTCCAGCCCTCCCTGCGTCACATCTACTGTCAGGCGAATGTCTACGTTCATAAACCTCGGCTGAACCATGAAAAATACCTGCAACAATAAACAATTGGTTGGTCCTTATACGATGGTTAACACTGTAACAAATGTTCTAAAAGTATCGGAGAAGATTTGATGTAACTAAGAGGAAACCATGCTAAAACAGATATGACAAGCAGCATCTCCTAGGGCTATGGAAAAGCGTAACAAATTGTACAAGAAAATAGTGAAGATTTTGTCGAGTTTTAAAATAGTTTCTGGCTGGTGAAATAAACATGAATACTACACAGAATGAAAAATGGCACCCCATAAAGTGGATCCAGCCAAATGGATGATTAGGATCTTTTAATGGATAGAGTTCAGAGCTAACTTATCGGAGAAATTTTGAGTCTAAGGGCTAATAGACACACAATAAAAGGTCCTAACTAATATTTTGTCCTAATATCAGAGAGAAGATAAAATAAATGTCAATCAAAGATCAATACTGGAGTAACCTTCAGCGTTACTAACTGCAGACACAATAGATTTTCTGAACATAACCAAAGTCTCTCTTTAACATGCCAGTAAAATCGTCTACAGTTCATCAATTGCGATAATATAGGCACGTCTCTGAGAAACTCACAGTCTGAGCAACATTTAGGGACTTAGGCTTCATCTTGCACTCCTCTATCAGCTTAGCGTCCAGACAGAACTTGTAGTCAACACTCATCTGTTTGTAGCACTGATGGCCCTCCGTGGGTGTGCCGGAGTACGACTCTCTACACTTGGAGCACTGCAGCGCCCAGCAGTGATGACTGAAACACAAACAGTCCATGGTGAAACACACACGGTAACTAAGTGGATCATAGATCTGAGCTAACAGCAAGACATAGATGCAGGGGTCAATGACCTGTTTGAATAAAGATTACAGCTACACAAGTACAATCGTAAAGTTTTCTAACTTGTTCTCAATTTATTTCAGATGATAGCTCAAGAATCTATGATAATACTGATTTGTGCTATGTTATAATTAATGATAACTAGTGATGTGACAGCGTTTGAGTTCTTATTAGCCTCATACACATTGAGGACGAATAATTTCATGAAATTAGCATGCTTCTTCAATACCTAAACAAAAATGACTCTTTTCCAGATGAAAGTTTAACGACCGAAGGGAAGCTGAGGTTAGAAAATGAGTGAGTGTCGGAAATAAACATTGGACACAATTGAACTATTTTTTGTCATACTGCACCATTAAAACCCAAATAATTCACTGAACGAAAATGTTGTAAATCGTTATACAAGTTAGCCCGAAATTGCTTCCAACCTAACTAGTCATAAACAAATCCCCAGGTATATTTAACAAAATTTTTTTAATCTGAACTATTTCTTACCTCATCTGAATGAATGGATGTCAGTGAAGCTAACAAGTAGTAAAATATGCAGCTCGTCTTCACAAGTCTAACTGATTATTTTTCATGCGAGATATAAAAAGAGCTACAGTACTTTACTCCGGCAACCCACGTAATGAACAAAAAAACATAGATTTTTCTGCAAAACGACAAAGACAAAAGATATCAAATTTTTCCCGAAAGAAATACAAATCTAACGAGGCACTTGCAGCTTCACTCGCCCACAAGTCCCCTTCTACAGGACAGTTAACTACATACCTGTTCTTGTTGGACTGACACGTGGGGTCACTCTCTGTGTTGTTTGCACAGTTGCACTTCTCCCCAGTGACCGGGTCACACGTGTCTCCGTGACCGTGGCACTCGCACGGCCGACAGCTGGCGCGGTGGTCCTCTGTGCCTCGGAAGTATCCCTCCACACAGTCTTGGCACTTGTCGCCCATCGTGTGGTTGCCGCACCACACACACCTGGAATTATAGTGATTTGATACCTTCCACTCACTTCCGTGACTTCATTTAATGGCTTGAATAAACTATAGCTTAAGTGTTAACAATTTTTCTTGAGATTACAGGCTTAACTGAATGGGAGATTCCTGGTAAAAGGGACACATAGACTTAACACAATAAACTTTACACAGTAATTAGAATATTCCACTGTCACTGAGAGCTTTTTTCAACCAAGGAAAATTTGAGTTAGGAAACTTGAATTAGGCCTATCTGCAAGTATGAGACATTTGTAAGTTCAGACTCAAGAGAGGGTTGGTTGGTAAAGGAGTTTTTCATAGGCTACCTGTTGCTTCAGAACGTGGATTCAGAGGTAGAAATCTAATAGGAGAACCAGGTATTTGTGTGGCCGAAGTCTTTAAGCTTATTCTATGTTAGCAGTTCCCAGTAATAAGCCTAGATCCCAAGGAGTCTGGACAGAGTGAGTTTTATTATACACAAAAACAAAGATCACTTCTGTGATCCTAACACAACAATCCTAAAATAACAACACAGTAGCTCACTTGGCTCTGGTGGTAGGTCCGTCTTGCAAATACTCCACCAGCTCCTGTATTGGGGTGGAGGGGGAGAAGGGGAAGTCTTTAAGACTCTCGTTGACACAGACGTGAGTGTGGCCGTTACAATAGTCTACACAAGGGACACACTCTCCCCCCTCTGTCGGGTCTCCGACGTACAGCGGCCTACAGTGTTGACACTGCGATCCCTGCAACACAACATTGTGTCTGTCTTAAGTAATGACAATTTTTATAGTATAGATAACATGAACCAAAATTCATAGAGATGGAATGTAGCATATTAAGAGTAGGAAAAAGCCAGTGGTTCCTGTCTTATGAAATTATGACCCGATAGAAAAAGTGTACCTTTAGTTGATCAATTTTCATTTATTTTACCATTGAAGATTTTTCTTATCTAAAAAATTTAAGCATGTATTTAAATCACAGATAACAACATAACACATACCCATGATAAGTGCTAATACATACCAGGGATCAAAAACATTTGATTGAATTGAGGACAATATATAAAAAAAAAAACTAGATGGATTTTCATAGGTTTTCCTTAATAAAGTTTATAATACATTCATTAAAAATACCACTGGCGTAGACACTACATATAAGGGCTTGTCTCACAATAGGACAACGATGGTTAAAATTTGGATTATTGTGGGATTATATTTCATCATTATTCGTAAAAAACTAGTTTTGGGGATTTTGAATCAGATCCTGCTAAAACATAACAAGATTAGTACAAAAAGCTAGAAAAATCATGAAAGAAAATGATACAAAGGAATGTAAGCGGTTAAAAAAAGAAACAAAATATCCTAAAAAAAAAAAATTAGAAAAATTGAGGTTAAAAGAACACAATGGACAGATCCTCACAAGACGTCTCAAGGCTTAGGTCTTGCGTCCGTTCGGAAAATTACCAAATTGATGGACAAGAGATGGACACCAATTAAAATTTTCTTCAAGCTCCATTCTGTGATGGATAATGTCGGCAATAATTTGTCACACAACATAAACTTCCAATATAAAGAAAATAAAGATGACTAATTACAGTATTACTTGTATCGATCTTGTTACAGTTTTTCTTCGCTCAACTATTTTTTTTTGTGTTTCAATTTTATATGTTTATACTCATGTATGTAGTTGTTAAGTTTGTTGGTTCAGGCTTTGATACTGTTTAGGAAGGGAAAACTATTAAATTATGGCTGACTCAACGAGATGCATCTAAAAGACATTAAGTTAAATCAAGAAATGCTACGGACAAGCCTTTTATGAGGCTTATGTAGCTTAGTGTTATAATGCCCTTTTGTCATTGTGTTGTTATTGAATAAATAAATTGAAAATTGAAATTGAATTCTTTCTTTTTATAAAGTTGTTTACCTGAGTGTTATTATGGCACATGAGACAGTGGTCCAGCTTGTCAGGTCCTTCACACTCCGAGTGACCGTTACATTGACACTGGATGGAACAGTTGGCTCCGACGTAGCCAAAGTCACAACGGCAGTGGTCCGGAGCGATACAAGTACCTCGCACACACCCCTTAGGACACACCTGCAAAACACACAATGTTTAGTTATAACATTCATCGTGTAAGACAGGTTTGATAGGTTGATAAACTGGATGGAAAGTTAGTTCTGATGTTAACTCAATTGGCGATGGTTGGTAGTGAGGTTACCTTGCAAAACTCTAACTCAAGGATAATGTTTTTAATATTGATGTCTACAACAAGTTTAGGATATACTAAATAAAAAACAATAGATCCTCTAATTTGAGATTTGATCGGATTTACAGTACTAAGTTGTTAGTGCTTTGAAAATAACAGTTATACAGTGTTTTAAAATTGTTTTGATCAAAGTCATTATGAAACACTCTTAGGCTAAACTGTGTACATCAATTGTGAAGGTGCTTAAATAATTTCAAACTGTAAACCCAAAACACAGATAATGAGGCAAATGTTTTGACACCACTCTAAAGTTATTTGAATGATGATTATTAGGGAAATATGCAATCCCTAATGAATCAAAAGCAACAGTTCTGACTCACTATAAGCATCCCAACATAGAGAATGTAACTATACAAAAATGTGTTACGGCTAAAAGAATTTACAAAAAAATAAAGCCAACCGGAACACAATCGTTGTTCTCCGCTCGGTAGCCGACACCACACACACACTTGTAGCCCTGCGGCAGGTCGACACACTGCTCGCTCACGTGGTCACAGCTGTGATGGCCGTTCTCACACTCGTTCTCGGGCGGACATCGGACGTAATGCCAGGAGAATGAGGCCTCCACGATAAGAGTGACTGTAGGATGTTCATGTTCGAAGAGCCGCTCGCAAGTAGTACGTTCTGGTCCTGACGATGGCCGATCTAATGAGCCTTCGTAGCACACTCCCTGTAAGATGAGAAACATTCGGTAAAATTAAGTTTTTGCAATGAGGTTGAGAGTGAGTTTGGATAAAAACCCTCTGGATTCCACCCACAAGTATACCACAACAATTAATATTTACAACCAGCATTAGTGTACTTCTAGCAGTGGTAAGGATGAAAAATGAGAAAAACTATGGTTTAAGAACCTATTAGAAATCAAACAAAAGAAATTGTTAAACAATTGTTGAAAGGTTTTTTATAAAAATTCTAGGCTCCAGGGAGAGAACCAGGTGTCTAGAGAAAATTATGTATTGTATGAAAAAAATTGTCATGTAAAACTTAACAGAATTTTGTGTTTGATGTACTCAGGCTAAATAAAGAAATAATTTATTTATATCTCTTGTAATACGATTATGAAGGCTTAGCTAACATTCACTTACCTGTCCAGTTGAGTTAGTTCCGTCCAGAGAACACCAGCCACAATGGGCATGACGCAGACATGTAGAGCACTGCTTGTAGCTGGAGCACGCCTGGGGACAATGCTCGTTGTTTCCTCCTAAAAAACATTAAGATTTTTCACAAAATTAGTGTTAAAGTAAGGGTGATTGTTTTACTTTGTCAAAATGTTAGCACCAAAAGTTACTATGCTTGATTATGGGTACATATGTAGTAAGATTCTGATACCTCAAGCTGGTAGACCATACACAATGTTTTAAATTCTGGTAAAAAACTCTGGTCCATCAAAATAAAGCTGACTAACCTAAGCTTTGTTTATATGTGACACTTTGCATTTGTTAAACCATGTACAACTTTAGCATTACCACCATTTGCTGAAACATTCAACAATAATCCAATCTTTGCTTACTCTAACTCATTTGGATAAGTTAGGTTACGTTGGTTTATATTTAAAATGTAAGTTGCTTGAGAACAGATTTGCTGTGAAATCATTAGGATTTAAAAACAAACATGAAACCAAAAAGACAAAAACAATATAGTTTACCATACATTCATTGGTTAATTGGTTGTGAAAGGGTGCATCTGCCTCATTGTGAGCATTTCCCTCCACATTCATTGGTTAATTGGTTGTGAAAGGGTGCATCAGCCTCATTGTGAGCATTTCCCTCCACATTAATTGGTTGTGAAAGGGTGCATCAGCCTCATTGTGAGCATTTTCCTCCACATTCATTGGTTAATTGGTTGTGAAAGGGTGCATCAGCCTCATTGTGAACATTTTCCCTCCACATTCATTGGTTAATTGGTTGTGAAAGGGTGCATCAGCCTCATTGTGAGCATTTTTCCTCCACATTCATTGGTAAATTGGTTGTGAAAGGGTGCATCAGCCTCATTGTGAGCATTTTTCTTCCCTGTTTCGTACTTTGAAGCTTCCCTGGTTTGGCTACACAACAAACCAGTCTTTCAACTTATATGTTGTTTAAACCAAATAAATTAGTCACAATAAAAGAATGTTTACCAACCTGATAAGACCAGTCCACACACTCCTCCGGCACAGTACAAGGGTTGGTAGCTCGGAGTGATACACTCATTGAGGCCAGTCGACCAATGACACTCGTGCCACCCTCCCTCGGCACCCTGCAATGTGCAGTGTTAGGTACAATATCGCTTAGGTATTGTAAGATAGTGAATTAAACTGTCAAAAGTCAATATTCAGTGTATCTACCTAGTTTGAGATAAATTTAAGGGTAAAGGACTTGTGTTATTATATGGTGTTTAATGAGGAAACCAAATGAGTTTTTTTCAATCAGAAATAGCCAGAATAGAAGAGATAGGCCTATTTTCTTATCCATGTATTTTTAACGAATTTCCCTTATAAGAAAGGAGCTATTTAGTATTTACTGTTGTAGGAGGTACGGCAACACCTAGACCCAGAACAGATAGTATGTTTGTTTGTTTGGATGGCTCCAGAGGCGAAAAACATTGTTCGTTAAAGTTTTCAAATGCAAAAATGTGTCCGTGTACAAAGTTACTTGAGCAATAGTGGTGCGTTTTTAATAAAATTTGGCAAGAACAGAATGTCACGGGCTAGAACTTTCCATTCATAAACATGATTGGGAAATAAGAACATGATGTTGTTAAATATGATGGTTTTAATTTTTTTCAAATGTTAACCCTAAAATGATAACAAATTTCCAATTCAGTTTATAGCTTAAAAACTAAAATAATTTAGTACACTATTTTTCTACGGCAATTGTTTACTGAGATATTTAACGACTAAACACAGTACATTACATACCATACAAGGATAGAAGCTTGGATAAGAAAATAAATGTTTGGATAAAATTTGTTGTTTGTAGGTCTACTTACTAAGTAACTAATTTAAACTAACTAAATAAAATATTATATGCTAGTTTAAAAAATTAAACTCAAATTTTTTGTAAAATTATTTTTTTATCTAGAAGTCTCAACTTTGTTAATTCATCCTAACCTGAGACGTAAGACAGGTGTCACAGTCTTTGTGATGACTACAACGTGCAGGACACGTTGCGCCGCTGCTCTTCATTTTGATGCTGATTCTGTCTGCAAAGTCCTGCGCGACGCAGTTCCAGTCAAACACCGGATCTTCTGCTACCTTCACTCCCTGTTCCGGTGTCAGCAATACTTGTCTGCAATAAAGCGGATTATTGATCAATTAAGATGAATTTTAAAATTAAAAATCCATCAAACACACAGTTGTGTAATAGGCATGGGAGGGATTAAGTAAACGACTGGTAATAAGAGGATGGTATGATAATCTCCTGTTTAATTTATGTTACACTAGATAACCTGTTGCTCGAGCAAAACTGTGTTTAATTGTAACAAAAAAATAAACAAACAAAAAATAAACAACAAAAACATAAACAGCAAGGCCTCAATCAAAGAGTCATTCTAAAGTCTATGCCTGATTATAGAAATATAAAAAATATAATGTTGTAAAAAATTATAAAAGTAACCTACAATATTTAAGTAGATCCCCTCTCATACTGCTTTGGGTATCTCTTATGTACTGTATAGGCGGGTGCCCTCTATGAGAACGTAGATGTCAACAACACACTTTAAAGTGAATTTTTCAAACCTAATGTAGCAAGCTAAATTCCTCTCTTGTCGCCAACCAGTACATAACGTACTATAGCATTGTTAAGTTATTTCTACGATAGGATCTGTTTTTGTCTTGTTTAAATCAGGGACCCCAACCAAAGTCTCCGGTTGGGAAAATTATAGGGTTAGCAAGTGGATCTAACGACGGATCTAGAACGGTTTTGCGTTTAACATTAGTTTTTGAAAAAGAAACTAAGATTTATTTGGCCATCACCCCACCTGTGATATGCCTTCTTAGGGTTGTTTGACTGTACTCCCTCAACACCCCACAGAAAGTTACTGTCAGGGGTGTGAGGAGGTTAAGTCTCAGGTAGCTAGAAAGTTGGTAGCAAAACCAATGTTTTTGGAAAGGCATTAAGTTCTGCCATAATCAAGCCTTTCCTCTATCGCCCCGCACTGGGCACTAGAGCCTTCTTAAGGTTAATTGGCCATAGGGGAGGAGAAGGCAATGACCTTGATTGGGTTATGTAGTTAAAGCCTAGATCCAAAACTGTGCAGTGTTTCAAAGCTGGGTTTTCATTGATCCTCTTAGTTCTAGAGTAAAAAAAAACAAAAATAAACTGAACAATTTTCCAAATGAAGGTAATTAAAATTAAGCTTGTTCCACTATACCTGGTCCAAAGACAGTTGCCCAGACCCAGACACTTGTTACAGTCGCTGGCCGCACACTGTGTCTCTGTACATTGTGTCACGTTGGTAACACTGCGACACTTGTTGTCTCTGTCACACTCGGCTGTGGCGGAGATGCAGCGCGCCCGCGAACATTTGCTGCACCATTTGCACACCTAGAAACAAGTGAAAATTCAAGTCTTGTTTTTTAAATTTTTGACATTTACCATGTTTTTCTTAAAATGGCCTACTTAGAAATCAAAAATGAATTCCTACATCTATACTTATTTAATTCGCAAGCAGGTTTTTTGTGACAATTACTCCTACGAAAATTCTGAACCGATTGACATGTTTTTGGTGTCATTGGAAAGAGCGTAATGTGAAGTTGTGCAGGAAACTTTCTTTTTAGGGAAATAATTAAGGAGTGAGCCCCTGGGGTCCTTAAAAGTTTCCTATTTCTCCATAAGATTAACATGGGAAATAAACATTGTTATGAAACTCCAGAAATTAAAAGTAAGAGGAAGAACATATGTTAATTCGTTAATTGTAAACATTCAATGTGTAAATTATCTAGAAGATTAACATGGACAACCTAATGTGGCTGGCTATAAGTGGGAAACAATTTTTTAAAACACTAAAAATAAGATCTGCTTTTTAAAAAAGATAAGATATTTACAATAAATGTTGATTACATTAACCTGTTATGAACATCGTGAGTATTTCCATTAGTTAAATAATAAATAATCATTGAGTAGTTTGAGTTGACTCTTAAAAGCATCGGAAATTATGACCGTCATTCGTTTTGAAGCAAATCCTGTAATACTTTGCAATTGCTCGATTTCAAGCAACATGTACACTAGTTCAAACAAAGTGGAACAATTGACTTTTGAAACTGGCGTAGAAGTCCCATCTACAAGGAATAGTTGTAGCATTTTTTTTTTCTTAAAAAAACCTAGTTGAATGATCGTACTACAGTCACGATTTACTACTATCTCTCTTATACTTTTTACCAGGCCTACGTTAGTTGATGCTTCACAAAAGATGTTATAGCTTGAAATAAGTTGTCCTTTCAGTGTGGTTTGGTTGAAACATGCCGTATTTTTCTCGTATTCACATCAGTGAACTGTCAGTGGCTCAATGTTAGACGTAAGACTCAGAAAAAATGCAGATAGACTAGCTATTGTTTTTAGTGTCTTCTGAGTACACTATAGTGCCTACTACTTGGACTCTTTCTAAGAAAAGCTAGCTGCTATCCATTTATCTAAAATCACAATCTTTTTCAAAACAATATGTGTGTATGAGAGTTCAGTAATTTGTGAGATTTGGTGGACAAGATGTTGAATAAAACTGCAACAAAAATCTCTAAGTTCTCTTTGTCACTCACCGGAGGTTCTTCCCAGTGGCTGGGCCACCTCGCCAGGCAGTCACTACACGAGGTGTACTGCTCACATGTGCGCTGCGCCAGGAACTCTCGACTGCACATGACACCGTTGTTGGTCTTGTGAGTGCCCTGCAGGCCGCGGCAGGGGTCGTTGAGCGCACCACGTGAGTTGCTGTAGCAGTAACTCGTAGAGTTGCCGGCCTCACTGATCACCGCACAGTACGAGCATCCGAGAAACGACCTTGAACAGATACGACATGTGATAAACACGTTTCATCCAATTTATATTTAACATTTGAAACTAAATGTTTGCCACAGAAGAACACAGTTACCATCTCACAGAGTTTCCTACAACCTAATAGTATATTATAGGGTCTAAAGTGACTCTATTTGACCCGAGGTCAAGTTTTACAAGTTGGGAAAATGTAGGCTAGACAAGTTAGGAAAAATGATTAACGAGTCACTTTTTGCCCGTGTGGTGAACTATATTTTTTGTCATATTGCACCATTAATTAACAAACAAAGCTAGAAAACAAAATATTTTTTTTTAAGATAACCTCTCAAAACGGCTTGTTTTCAATTCTGCTAATGTAAATAAGCAGCTGTTAAGTAAGTGATTCAATCCTTTCGTCCATTACAATTATTGTGTTACACAGTACATTATACCATCAATATGTTGAGCGATCTACAACAATAGGCTAAAACCTTACCTAATATACCAATCGATCCACCTTTTTGTTTGATACGACTGCCACAATCGAAATTTACAACTGTTTACAACAGCTGATTTTTACTCCCTTGAGACTAAAAGTGATTTTTACTCCCTAGAGAGTAAAAATGCTACTTTAGACCCGCGACGCATGCATTAAAAACGGCTGTTTTTGCTGCAGTATGACAAAAAGTTATATGTTCCCTCTCAGATGTTACTGTGATAGTTATGACCATTGTCATACACGTACTAGAAAAGACATTTAATGGAGGCTACCGTTACCTGAACAGCACTGTTGCAGAGTAGTGTCAGCGGCCCGAACTACACCGATTCGGGCATGTCGGTAAGTCAGTTTTGTTTTTTATTTTTCTTTATTGTAGGTTGTAGAATGTAGTTTTTGTTGACTCAAGCAGCCCAAACTACTTTGCCAAAATCGGTAAACTATTAGCATTAGCATTAGGTGTCCCCTCTTATACGTGTATACTTACACGTATACACGTATAACACGTAAACTTATACACGTATAAGTTATACGTGTATACTTAATGTTATGACATAAAAGACACTACAGCTCACTCTTTGAATTAGGTTTAGTTAAACATTTGGCGTACTCAACAAATGATCAGTAATTTTATTCACAACAGCGGACTCTTTAAATGCTCAACTCACCCATCTTCAATTAAATTCTTAAACTGCCCACAATTTTAACAAGAGAGTTTATACACTCACCAGCAAATTAAATGTTTCCACAGGTACAAAACTATCAAAACCCACCTGCATTTGTCCTTGTTGGTCCACAGTCTACAGAGGTCGGCCGGAAGGTTTATCCTGGTGACGTGACTCTGCACACCCCCCGTGAACCCTCCCATCACGTACACCACTGTGGTGTTGGACGACTCAGGGTCTAGTGTCATGGCATGGGCGTATGTAGACGGAGGCGGACTGCCTACACTCAGCACATCTGCGGACAATGAGAAGCTGTAGAGGGGCTGATTCTGATTTTTAACTACTCAAAATCTTCAGCACCCATGGTAAAGGGTAATCGATTCAACTTTATGATTTTGGATTCGGTACTGATTCCAGAATCAACTTTGATCATGAGAAAATTATTATTGTGGCCACAGTAAATTTGCAAACTTTCGATGGTGCAATTGGTGAATTTTAAAAGACTCTGCAATTAAGATAATATCCCCATGATTCTCCCGTCCCCAAAAAAGCTGAAACCATTCAAAGCCCTTTAGGAAAGCAGGAATAGATATTTTCTTGTTTCATACAAGAACAATTAATTAAATTGTTTTATTTTAAACACCAATTATTTTTAGGTTTAAATTGAATTTTCGGTAAATAGAAATTCTGTGTCTGTTTAGAAGAAATTATAAAAATCATTCTATTACAATTTAAACTGTTTCTATTCATTGTGTAGTTAGTTTGGCCTGTAATTTGAATCACATCCTTAATCCAGAATGGATGTCAACATTTAAGTATTTATTTGGTATTGACTTAGTACAGTACAGGACATATGCAATAGTCGTGGAATCAGAACCTATAATTTTAAAACCAACCTATCACTAGTAAAACCCCTATTACAACTGATTAAACTAAGGTTAAAAATGTTAAAGAGTAAGTGTAAACTAAAAGGGAATGGACTAACTAAACTATTCCCACATGAAAGAAAATACAAAATTTGATAATCAATTCACATACACAATTACAGCATAATGTTGAGGTGGTTTATACTACTGGCTTTATTACCAAGTATTGTCACATTTGCAATATGCTAGTCTAACACTTGACAATTTCAATTAACAGACCTTTGGAGAGCAGCCTGATCCACTGGTTGCAGGCGTAGGAGTAGGCGATGAGAGAGTCGTGGGTGGTGGGAGTGATGCTGCGACCTCCGAACACCAACATGTACTCATCTGTAGACACTGCTGTGTGTAGTAGTCTGGGCTGGGGCTGGCAACAAACAGTGACACTCAAATGAGTGAGATAATAATAGAAACCAGCTTAACTAGCTCGCTCCCAGATAAAATATAAGGGACTTGTCCAGTTAACTTGTTGAGAGCTGCATACATTCAAACAGGCGCTCGCCAATGGCGGCGAGGCCCGGGCAAAGCTTGGCATGGCACTGAAACAGCGAACGCAAGTGGCATTCAAATATTTTAATTTTAATCTGATGAATAACAAAAGAGCAGCGGTGATTGTACTGTGTTACCCCGAGAGTGGACGTAGTTCACTGAAACACCCAAAGGTCACTGCCTGGATCATAGTCAGTGTCTTTGTAATGTGGCTTGAAGAGAGAAAATCCCTGAAACCAGGACTAAAGCATTGTCAGACGGGATTTTACGGAAAATTTTAATACCATACCTACACCAAAATAAAGCTCACATTCTAAGCTACAAGCTAGCAACGATTATATTATAATGTTCTCTGGCAATGGCTGAGCTCATACTGAACTAATTTAGTGGGGGTGGGGCGACTACATCTGTTGATGTAGGCCGGTAGAAGCGCTTGTGACGTACTATCAATTGATATAACCCGCAATGAACATGTTAATGTACATTGTTCAAATACATTTTGATACAATAACTCAAGATTAAATGTAATTAGTTTACTATTTCTGAACTTCACCATGGATTTTGGATACTGCAAACTTTCTAACTAAATCTATTTTGTAGTTATGTGCGCTGATGTTGACTACATTCTTTACTCTTATTTTAGTGAAAACACTGGAGAATTCTAACTCTTATGTCACTTAACTGGAATTTTAAATCTTAAGTCTGTAAAAACAGTACAGGACAAAAAGTAGTATACAAAAAAATCTTTCCATAACATTAAAATAAATTCAAGTATGAAACGAGAAACAAATACCGTAGTAAAAATCAAAACGCACTTTAATATAGCAATATACTTAACAGTAACATTCTTCAAAATTGTTTACAGCTGATCCTTAAAGTTGACAAACCAAAAGAAGTGAGTTTCAACTCACCAGTTGCATCCTGGGAGGGTTGTACTCCTCGAAGGTTGGTAGGACTGACCAGGTCTGCGATGGGTAGTGGAAGGTGTACAGCTTGTTGGAAATGAACGTTCGATTGACGGAATACATGTAACCCCCAAACACGTAAAAACTGGACGTAGGGGCATGGTACACTGTACTGTGGCCGTACACACCTGTAGGAATTATTCACAGATGTTGTTTTAGGTAAGAGAAAATCATAACCTCAACACAAATTGTGAATTATTTTATTTCTTTCATTATCTGTACTTTCCTAAATACTTTTATGATGTCTGTAAATGAATTAAGGCCTAACTGGCTTATCTGAGAAAATTAAAATCAATGGTTTAATTATACACAACTTTACAAACATAACATTGAAATGCCACAAAATAGGATTTAAAAATAAATAGTTTTATGTTTAATATTGTTCCTTTAATAATTAAGTGACTAAAGCCAAAAGTTAAATTGACTGTTCAGATTGAACTTGAGTATGTCACCAGTTATTCAGCAAGAAAATAATTGCTTATTTTAAAATGTTAGTAATTTAATATTATTAGCCATTTTTGACCACGTTGAAAAAATAAATATAAAAATTCAATCAGCATTGAATAAATAATAAACTTAATGAATAGCTGTTAAATAATTTAAGAATGACGAACACTAAAATATTCTGCATTTTGTTCATTTCACCAGATAAATGATACTAGACTAAATATTACAAATATAATAAGTAACTTAGTATAGGTACAGTAAATCATTGTGGAATGGATTTAGAAATGAAGACACCAGAAGAGCTGTAGTTGAAGAAAGTTTTTAAAGGGAGAATAAAAAACAATATGATTTGGGCATGTGAGAGGAGAGAATACCAAGGAAAATGGAGTAGACAATGACGAAATGAAGGGGATTTGAGAGGTAGACCAAGAAAGTGGATTGAATATGTGAAGAGGGATAGGAGAAGAGAGCAGTCAGACGGTAGAGAATGAGATAAACAAGAGATGGTAGAGAAATAGTAACCGTAGTGTGACAGGAAAAGATGGAGGAGTCTAGTCAGCATCCAGATACAGAATTAACTTGGATGTACAGGTATGAGGAAGGTAAGAAGATATGAGTGAACACTAACCAAGAGGTCCGTAGCCGAAGGTTTCCAGCTCAGTCCAGGTTTCAGTAGTCAGGTCAAACTCCCACACATGGTGTAAGAAGCCATGGTCCGGACTGAAGCCGCCGATCAGCAGCAGACTCTCTGTCTCGGTGCCTCGCCGCAGTGTCAGTGTATGCCCCGCCAAGGGTGGGGGGGACAGTGACGTCTGTGATGTCTGTAACAAAGCATTCACTTTCACTAAACAGGCAGTTGTGTAACTTACTGTACACAAATCTATGTTAGTAGTTCATGTTATGTTAACCCTTTGGGTGCCAACATTTATTTTGGTACTTTCCGAAAAGTGCTAGAGTTTTTTTACTAGGTATGTCTGAAAAGTGCCAGGCTTTCCGTGGGGGCGAAGCATAGTGCGCAAGAATAAAAATCGGTTAGAGTATAAATTTTCATCCTAAAAGTGCCATGGAATGATATATCGTGCCTCGATCGTATGAGAAATCAATTCAAATCATCGTTGTTTTATAATAACAACCGAGTCAACCGATATGCCCATTAAATACTTACTTAATGTATTCCAAAGCCAATTGCTATTTCCTCCAAAAAAATTGTCCTAAAAATCACACAGCACTTATTTAAACTCCTAACAAAAACATATTTCAGTTGTTTGTGAAATCGATTTGTTCTTTTAGCAAACATCTGTCTCGAGAGCTCTATGTTTTTTAAATGTACATTTATTGCTCATGAGGATTAAAAGGGATTTATAAGATCTTCTAGGAAGAACCTGACGATTTATGTTATTCAATAAAATTAATTAGTAATTACACATATTCAGAATTTATTGATGCAGTTAATAAAACAATGGTAGATTTTTTTACACATGTAGAGATGAACCACACACATGTAAAGAGTCACCTGTATATCTATCCATCGTTGGTTCTTCAGGCTGAACTTCCAGAAGTCGTTGAGCGTGCTGTTAGCTCCGGCAGCCATGGTCAGTTTCTGAGTCAGCCCTCCGTAGACAAAGATCTCCCGCTTGGAGTGAACTATCTCGGCTGCGTGGAAGTATCGGCCCTGCGGCATGTTGGCGTCATTGGTAGAATCGATGGTCACCTGCAAACAGAAACAAAACAATGTGTTTATTTATTAGCTTATTCCGTTATTTGATCTTGTGAGGCATAACAAGCAAACTTGTACTTTGATATGGGAAAATGTATTTTTAGATATTTTTAAGGTTGGAACACTAGAACATGTACAATATTGTTGTAGATGAGACTTTGCTAAACTGTTAACAGTTTTGTATTTGAACATTTGAACATAGGGATGGAGTGATTATCATTTGTGATCCCTCAGTGTTAAAAACCAGTGGTATTTATGAATGGCCAATCGTCAATACTTTGTGACTTAAGTACTCAATACCAATTCCAGAATTTACAGCAATTAGGGCATGGTCATCTTCCGCAAGTGCAGAAACATGTAAATTTTTTATGGTCTACTTCTTTTGAGATCACGTTTTTATTAAGAGTGACGTGAAATCAATCAAATTCCAACAGCAAACCAAGTAAACATTTTTTCAGGTTTCGAAAAGCCCCATCTATAAGGAGTTAGTTTGAAATTTTTATTGCATAAATAATTAAACTAATTAATATGCATTTTTTTATTAAATCCTACTTTTTTTTAAAGACCTACAACTAATTAGCCCACACAAACTTTTAAGTTAATTTAAACTGCTTGTATTTCTAAATTTGATCTGAAATCAAAGCTGCTTTCACAATCGAGAATCAAAGTCAAAATTTCAGCATCAGCAAATTTGATCTGAAATCAAAGCTGCTTTCACAATCGAGAATCAAAGTCAAAATTTCAGTATCAGCATCCAATTTTTTAAATCAGTCCATCACTTATGTTTGTAATAGGGATGGTCAAGTCTCAAAATTTCGGGAAATTTTCGGGAAATTTTAAATCTCGTTACACGAGACGAGATTTCTTTTTGGCCAAGATTTTGTTCAAGACAATTAAAAAAAAAAAAAAAAAAAAAAAAAAAAATTAAAAACGCCTGCAGAAAGTCTATGCAATACCCTCAATACAGGAGCGCGTTGTAGTTGCGTTTCCTTTGCGAAGGCGTTCTTGTTTAATTAATTCTTTAAATGTAAATATTACTTTAATTATTTTAATAATATTACTTTAATAACATTAGAGAAGTTTTGTTAAGTGTAAGCAGTGTAAGGAATGTTTTATTACTGTAAAAAAAGTCAAAACAAGTAACTATTTTATAAAAATTAATATTACTTTTATTTTATTTTAGGATAAGTTGAACTCTATCCTAACTGATATGACTATGTTTCCTAATCGTAGGCATTTATAATATGTTAGGCGTGATTAATAAAAAAAAATTTTATGCTGTTTTTTAATAAAATTTTGTAAATATTCTTGCCTATTATCATTATTTTTGTATTTAAACAGTCATCTAACAATGTTACAAAATCAGGTAAAGATTTTGAACGTGCATTTCCCGTTGTGTATGAGAAGGCAAATCCCGTCTCGATCTCGTCTCGAAATTTTATGAGAAATAAAAAATCTCGGCTCGTCTCGAACTAAAAATCCAATCTCGTCCATCCCTAGTTTGTAATATATTTAAATTAAAATGTTTCACAACATTACCTGCATCCAAGTGTTGTTCTTTGTGTCGAACAAGCGTATGTCGTTGAGAGGACCGTGAGATAGAGAATAACCTCCAAACAACCACAGTGACCCTCGTCTGTCCGTGAGTAGAGAGTGACCAAACCTACACAACGGACAACATCATTAACAGGTGGAAATAACACTACCTACATTCAATACTTATAGAAAACTTACTGCAATTAACCCTTAGGGAGCAAATTTGTAATCAGTATAGAGATTTTCTTATAGTTTAAGACCTTCCCAAAGGCAAAATTTCTTAAATCATAGACTTTTGGATACTAAAGTACAGATCCAATTCATATAAACCAGCTAATAGCTGGTGTTATTCTAATAGATCATAGTTGAATACACTGTTCACAAAATATACTATAAGCAAATGATATTTTCTCCCTTAGATTTGAAACTTTGAATATTGATGTGACATAATAGAAAGGATTATCACTCCACGTGACTCACCGAGGCAGCATCTTCCGCAGGTGGTCGAGACTATCAGCCAGGTGGGCTGAGTTGAACAGTTCGGTGAACACCAGATGGTTGGGTGTAAGTCTGGTCGCACATTGAGGTCCGCCCCATCCATCTACACACAGGCATCGTCCGTACCCCTGGAACAGAACACATACAGCATTCAAATATGTTAAAATTTATATGTTAAAACCTGTAACGGTTACACTGTCATATTAACTTTCTAAATACTGTGAAGTCTAGCGACTGTGAAGAGAAGACAATTATTTCATACAGCCCAATAGCCCATACAGCTAATGGCGACTAAGGGACCTACAGTTTATAGTGGAATCCAAACCATATTTTTGCCTTGGTATTGACAAATTTGTCTAATTATCAGGATAGTACTGCGGATAGTTGTAGTACTTACTAGTGCGGCCGTTAACCCACACCAGAGAGTATCGCATCCACAGTGCATGTATATAAATATCCACAATTCGTGACCTCATAGCTGGATTACAGCCCTCGTCCCAGACAATACTAGGCTAACTATTGTCCAGTTGCTAAAACCTTCGACAAACGAAAACTAACAAAATGGACAACAATGTTTAAATATTTATAACGCTCATCGACCAACCTTGTCACAAACGCCCTGTTTCAAGTCGGCTGTGCAGTTGTTGGGGCACAGAAGGTCGTTGCACTCAGGACCTGTGGAGCCGTCCGGACACACGCAGACTCCTGCGCGACACACTCTGTTGCGAGGACACTTCTCTGGACAGCCCAGCACCTCCACGGTGGCGTTGAAACCTTCCAGAGGATCACCCTGCTTGTAGTGAACTGTCATCACCCCTGTAACAAGTATTAATAAAAATAAGAAAATATGAATTAACATACTCTTACTTAAGGAGTCATTAGGAAAGATATAACGTTCAGCAAGGATAAAAAAAAATTGGGATGAAGAACTCTGAGATTCAACTTTTCACAATACAAAGTCAAGAACCAAGACTCTACTATTGAAAACGTAGCCGGTAGCCCAGAAAATGGTGTTTTTGTGCATTTTAATTTTCGTCAGTAAGGTAAGCCTGCTGTTAAATGTCCATTACAAAATCCTTAAAAACCCTGGCTTAAAGAGATTATTTATTTATTTACAATAAGTTTTTCACAATACTTTACAACACCAATATTAATATTTCACAATATTGTAACAATTCTTAAAATGTTTGGTTGAAATAAAATGTTACGTTTTAGCATTAGACTTCTCATCTATATGGGACACTTGTAGCCAATTTTTTATTTTAAAAGAACCTAATTGTGTGAGACAGTCACAGATTGCGCTAGTGTCTAAAATTCTATTTTATACCTTTTTTTTTTTTGCTGGCCAGGTTGAGGGGTCATAACAGCTGCTATAACTAATCATATGTCATCCCCTATGTTGAGTATTTGGCAGAATTTAGTCATTTAGTTCAGTGCAATTTGTAGGTGGCTGACATCAACTACGATGATTTTGATAAAAAAATCTGGCCACAAATTTAACATGGGGATGGAATCTCTAGGTTTTAGTATTTCCAAACTTTTATCCCTGTATCTACAGATATTATTCCTTAACCCATTAAAATAAATCTAACTTAAAACATCTTAATTGGCTATATAGCTTAAAATCTCTTTATATTCATGAGTAAGGAAGTTTATTAGATTAGACAAGACTACTTGACTGACCACTACGGGCCTCCACGGTGACTGGGTACGACGTATCCTGTGAGCAGAACACTCCCAGCACATGACTCTGGTGGTTGTCCATGGACACAAAATCTGGCAGTCCGTCGTACACGTACACACTGTTGTCTCCACAGGTAACTGCGATGTCCGAGTCTATGGTCAACTGTATCACACTGGACCTGTCAAACATACCATACAAATGTAACTCCTGACCTGTGTGAGGAGTTGGTGCCAAAATACAGTCATATATGGCAGATAGGGAAACAGACTACCCGAATAGGAAACAGCCCACACATGCACAAGAAACTCCTTTACATTACATACTAAAAAAAACCTAAACTATTTTACAACCACTGAAAGAATTTTCCAAAAAAGCAAGGTTTGAGTTTTTCTTTTGTTTCTCTCTCCAAATGTATTGTAAAACTTGCTAAAACTTACACATCAGGATAGAATGTACATGTTCACACAGTTCTATCAAATCTAAAGTCAACACCCTAATTTAATGTATGAAAGTATTCATCTAAGAAGGGCAGGGGTGTCTAGTTTATTTCCATTATAAAATTCAAGACTAATTCCAGACTTTTAAAGACTAATTCCAGATTTTTCAAGACTAGTTTTCTCAACAATTAGTGCGTGTTGATACCAAAATGTATCGATTCTCGATTCTTGATACCGATACCAATTTGTATAGCTTAACCAAATTTTCTGAATAATACTACACCAACCTCTGTCTTTGTCATAAAGTAGTATTATGATAATGTGGTGTTTTCAAGTAAAGAAATAATGCAGCAATAAAAAATTCTAACTAGCAAATTTGTTTTTTTATCATGAAATCTTCCACGTACCGTACGTTTAGACATCATCATTGACTGCAGCGGTTACAGAAACGTGATTGTCGTCGTCCGCGATCACGGCAAAATCATGAACATTTCCCGCGGACTTGTAGACATCAATGACATTATCGTCGTCTCCCGCTGTCTCAGAAACGTTATCGTCATCGTCCGCGATCGAGGCAAAATCATGAACATTTCCCGCGGCCGTGTAGACATCATCGTCGTCTCCCGCGGTGACGGAAACGTCATCGTCGTCTCCCGCGGTCACGGAAACGTCATCGTAGTCTCCCGCTGTCACGAAACGTCATCGTCGTCTCCCGCTGTCACGGAAACGTCATCGTCGTCTCCCACTGTCACGGAAACGTCATTGTAGTCTCCCGCTGTCACGGAAACGTCATCGTCATCTCCCGCTGTCACGGAAACGTCATCGTCGTCTCCCGCGGTCACGGAAACGTCATCGTAGTCTCCCGCTGTCACGAAACGTCATCGTCGTCTCTCGTGGTTTCAGAAACGCCATCGTCGTCGTCCACTATCGCGGCAAAATCGTGAAAATTTCCCGAGGCCGTGTAGACATCATCATTGGCTTTTGCGGTTACGTAAACGCAAGACGACGATCGCGGCAAAATCATGAAAATTCCCGACTTTGAAATCAAATTTAAGACTTAATCCCGACTTTCAAGACCATTTTGAAATTCAATACTATTTCCCGACTTTCCCGATTTTCCCGACTACTAGACACCCTGGAAGGGGTCGTGGGTTTGGGAAGGTGAATCACCTGAACACATGAGACTCAATTCAAACATCTCTTTAAAAGTACCCAGAAATAGGCTGCATTAACATATTAAAAAATGGTACATAATCTACATGGCAAATTTGTCAAATGAATTTTTTTACAAAAACTCTTATCTTGACTTGTAGCTTTGTTTACACTGTACCATAATCAAGAAACTTTTTCAATGTTGATGTGCTGACGTGCCAATTTCTTTGAGTAAATATTTTCTGCCAAAATAAAGAGTTATGAGTACTGAAAAATTCACAAAATAATCTGTATAGCTCCTTTACTACAATTTCCCCAGGTAATCTATCTGGACATCTCAAAAGAGAAATCCCACAGTAATCAGTTTAAGTCACTCACGCGTCAGTCTTGTTGTGCAATTCGTGAGGACTGATGATCCACAGACATTCACGAGATGGCGGCCCCTGACGAGACTCCCACGCACTCATCTCTGCCAGCCGAGACCCTAGACCTTGCTTCTCTGTGCTGGTCAGCATCCCTCGGGCCACGCACTGGTAGTAGCAAGTGCCTCCCCTCCTATACACACAATCATCGGATTAGTTGTGAACTAATTGTATTTGATACTTAGAAATGATATAAATTATCTCCATAATTTGTTTCTCTTTGCTTATATTAGTGGTAGGGATTTTTTGGTTCTTTAGTTGTATGTGGGTTGCAGCAAAATAATCTAAAGCAAGAATTGGGGGAAAATGTCGGTTTCAGTGCATCAGTTGTTGCACAGTAAATCATTTGGCCATACAATCCTTACTGTGCGGTCTTTATGATTGCAGAGAAAGCACAAGATTTTGCCGTGTTTGTGGGAAACAATGATGATTACTAGAAGACTCCAATAAATATTCACCATGTTCCCATGAATGGGGAAGACAATGATGTATGTGCATATTATGACATTGCTGCAATCATGGAAGACAAGGTCTACGACACTGCAGTACATCTTAATTTTACTGAGATAGCAAAAGACGGTAATTATTTCTACAAGAGTGTGGTACATATTCAAGATTACGCCATGATTGCAGGAGACGATGGAAACATTTTCAGTGACATCAACAGAATTCAGAGTGTCAGTCTATGAATCATTCCCCTGGATGGCTCTCATTGGTGGATTACCCAAAATGAAAGAAACTGGAATGAGTTAGCATTTTTTATTAAGCATTTCTAATAAGAGATCTTTACGTTTTAGTTTAGATTTTATTATAAGACTCCTTTATGAAAGTACTTTGGACTATAGTTTTTGCTATAGGCTACTTTTATTATATTTGGCAGCTGGCTGAAGTTGTCGTACAATAGGCAACATTAACGTGATTGGAGATCAGAGCATCCAACTAACCTTGGGTCTCCGTAGTAGCCTTTTTTGCACTTGTTGCAAGTTGGGCCCTCAGTATTGTCTTGACAGAAGCACACTCCAGTGATCGAGTCACAGAATCCCAACGCTCCGTTGCCGTGGTCGTTACAATTGCAGCCTCGGCAACCGCCTGGTGACGTGGCGTTGCCATAACTTCCAGCTCTGCAATTGGAGGGGAAAGTTATTAACACAAAAAAATAGTCCCGTACACAAAAAAATAGTCCCATACACAAAAAATACTAAAAACATAAAGGTGTATTTAACGAATCATTTGAATTAATAATGTCTAACTTGTGCAAATAAGTACAATCAAGAATTCACGTATTATTCTTTAGATTTATCAACTTGCACTAACTTGCATGCAACATGCTCTCAGAACTTACTTGCAGTATTGACAGTGGTCTCCCGTAGTCCAGTCGTGGCAACTGTCACAGATTCCAACACCCTGAAATCATAATATTAAACTTTGAAACTCAATGCCTGAACACTCCTTGTAATTATACCATCTTTGGGGTGTTAAAAACCACTGGTTATGTATAATACCACAAAGTAAAGTAGATGTAGTTTAGGTTTGTGTATCTGTTTAAGTGTTAAACAATTGTAGATGAACAATCATAGCAAAACTCTTAGGTCTAATCATGTTTACAATACTCTTCCAATCTATGCTATGTTTGTCCAAAATTGTTTACTAAGTTTTTTTAAACATCAATATGGGTCTTAAAAACTACAATACAAAAGCTAATCTATACTATTATTCTTACCCAGTTTTGCCAACTTATTTTGACATGTAAACGACCTCATCTGTCTCGTACATTTCATACTGTATTATGTTACGATTTCAATTCAAGTTATCTGATTGAAAATAAGTGCGGAAATGTAAAAAACAAAGGGAAAAAAATTAGCGCAGGAGGCTTATTGGTGAGTTATGATCAGTGCAAAAATGGCTGGGAGAATATATTGGCAATGCCCACACTCCTTGCTCAGATGCACAATAATAATCCACGGAATTTGATGCTCCGGTTGAAATATGTGTGTTGAATAAATATTTCTCCACCTGTGTACAAGTCGAGTGATTGTTGCATCCACAGTTGGTACCACAGTCAGGTCCTGTCCAGCCAAGGTCACACTTGCAGGAGTACTGCGGTGCCCCGACACAGTAGCCGTTGATACACTTGTTGTAACACCTACAACACACAACTGCTGTATGTGTGTCTTAAACAAGAAAGCCACATTTCGTCAATTGCAAAGGGTGTGTATAGCACCAACCAAACTGAGCAAAGCCTGAATACGAATATATAAAGGCAAACGATTATTGTGTTGAAAAATTAACACTAATAACTCCACTGTTTTACACAATCCGTCATCAAAACCAATAGCTTCACAACTTCATATTCAAATCCAAATTAGCTTACGTCTTGGTGCAGGAGTGTTTGCCGTCACCGATGAAGCCGCGTCGACACTGACAACTGTACGATCCGTGCGTGTTGGTACACTTGGCCTCGGGGTGGCAATCGTGGAGTCCCAGTCCGCACTCGTCTACATCTGGACACTGGGCGTATGACCAGCTCACCTCATCACTGTACAGTGACATGTTGTGCTTTCGATTCACCACACCGGCGCACGACTCTGTTACATTATAAAACATTTAGTTATACGTATGGTATTTTAATTTTATTTCACATGAAACAGGCATTTTTTATGGAATAATTTAAATCATATTTTAAGTTATAAATACAACTGAATATTAATTCATTGTTAATATGTACAGTGATTTGATTGTGGGCAAACATTTGTTCCCATGGACTAAAATCCTAATGTTCGAGTGGAAACCCAAAGTTGTAAACAAACATGACATAAACTGTTTATGTTTTAAGCATCAGCATAATCACTAGGAACTCAAGTACCTTTTACTATATGAATCTCTTTTCCTAACTGTTGCACTCTCAGAGCCTAAAGACAGTTTGAAAAAGGGAGGTAGAGAAGAGTAGTTTTAAGGATGGTTTCCAATCCAGTAATATTTTTTGACGGAAAATTACTAACAATAGGCCTAACTATACTTTTATTTAAATTCTTTAAAGAGATAATATATTGAGAAGAGTAGTTTCAAGGATGGTTTTCAATCCAGCAATATTTTTAGACGGAAAATCACTAACAATAACGATACTTTTATTTCAATTCTTTAAGACAATTTACACACAACAGATTAACGACTTACCAACATGAGGGTTGCTAAAGTCGCCTGGTACGCAGACACCCTGTATGGGATTGTCCAGGTCGTAGCACCAGCCGCAGCCCAGCGTGCGCAGACAGGATGAGCAGTTTGCGTGTCGTCCGCACACGTCGCAGGCTGCACTGGCGTGGTTGCGTGGCGCCAGTGAGTGAGGCGAGTGGTACGTCTGGTCCAGCCACTCTCTGCAGAGACCAAACTGGTATTGTGATGTGTACACGGCGAATGCAAAACACTCCTGAAACAGTGTAATATAATGATTAAGAGGGTTGCATTTGAATGTCATAAGAGGAAGTCCTTCGGCTGGTTAAGAAATATTTTTTGAAGGGGACTGAGTTAATCTAGACTTGATAAAAATAGTGTCCAAGGCTTTTAGATACTATTTTTCTTCTCTCTAATTTTCTAGGGCAAGCTTGCTAAACTATAATATATCTTTCCAAAAACGTCATTAAAATTATATGATTAATTTTTACAATGGCTGCAAAGACTGTAGGTTTTTGTTTCAAAATCCTATATATAATATGAGTTAAGTTTGAATATTTGTTACTTCGATCTGGGAATCCCCCATGTTATTGCAAGAAAATTAAGGTTAGATGAAAGGTTCCGGTTGTAGTTTTGGAGCAAGGAAAATACTGGGTATTACCTTACTACAGTAGAACTTCGATAACAAGACCCTTGATAACAAATCAAATCTACTTGAAACTATTTTACCCCTAATCACATGTTATTGCAACCTCGATAAGAAGTCAGCATTGATAACAAGTCTAATTTTATAATCCCTATAGGTCTTGTTATCAAGGTTCTACTGTATTTTAACGGAAATTAAATAGACTGCAAAACAATATTTTTGGGACTAATGAAATTGACCAAAGAATACTCTCAGAGTATACTAATAAAGTTCCCCGAGCAAAGCTCGGTTCCCAGGCACTATAAACCTATTAAAGCAAAAGTTCAGACGTGGTGATAAAACCCAAGTGCAGCTATTAAAACCTGAAATTGGTATAACTGACCATGGAGAATATTGTCAAACGTCCATTACCTGAGTGGCCTGACACCACACACAGCGTCCGTTGCCGTCCAAACAATCTGTACAGTTGGCTCTACTGTAACACGGAGGAGGGCACTTGCCTGCTTCCACCACTCCTGCTGGAGACCTGAGCAGCAAACACACGTCATGGTTTATATATCTCATAGTTGTGGATATTGTAACAAGTTTTAGGCTAATTCATGTAACTAAACAGATAAAAAACAATGTAAAGAAGTGTGCAGATTGTAGAATATACTCTAACAATAGACTAAAATGGTTTAAATACTTATAAAGTAGTCCTTGGTTGCTGTGGTGGCAACTAGTTTATAATCTTAGGTTGAACCATCAGTCCTACAAATTAATTGTCAAAGCAATGTGTTCATTTGATGGTTGTCAGAGCCACCAGTACTCACCCAATCGTTCTCTGGTCCTCTGAGCACCCTGCCATGGCTTAATGACCCCTTCCCAACCACAGAAGAAAATTGTTCAACTGACATTACTACTGAAAGCACCTTTCCCAACCACAGAAGAAAATTGTTCAACTGACATTACTACTGAAAGCACTTGATGTTATCATAAACCCCTCCAGCACGCTTCCTAGCTTGCAAGCAGTGTTTTCATGCAGAATAATTATTAGGTACTGTGTGGGATTAAAACAAGATGTAGAATAAAACAGAATCTTTGGCTCTGACGACTAGACGTCCAATTTTGTATTTAAAACTGATATCCTATTCAAAAATACCCACTGTAAAATTAATTTCTTTACATAGTATTATAGCAAGGATTAAAGAGCTATAACACCTCAGAAATGAAGCAATTTTAACATAAAACTTCAAAAAGATCACTTGGGATAGAACAGGATTATTTACAAATTTCAGGTAAGATAAACGAGGATTTTCTAGACCCAATAAGTGAGATATTTGTTTAGATCGTGCGAAACACTACTTGCACGACATGACAAAGCACAACCTAGCGCCTAGCCTATCCTTCATATCCACTCTATTCTGCCAAACAATGTCCCCAGGTACATTATACTGATCGAACAGCTTCCATTCATTAATGTAACTAGTAGACTAGCATACAACTAACGCACCTTCCTCTGCGTGAGCACCTAGCGTCGTCAGGCCACCACTCACAGATGCCCGTGTCTACACAGGCCTCGCAGTCCACGTAGTTAGAGCAGTTGGCGCAGTGAGACGGTACGATGGTCAGGTAGTGCCACTGTGACGAGGACGGTGAGCGACAGGTAACTCGCTCGTCGCTGCTGCGAGGTTGGCACTCGTTGGTCGGCTCACACCAGCCACATAGTGAGTCGCTGAGGCAGTGCAGACAGTTGGTGTACTGACTGCAGCTGCCGTTGCCCTCAAAGGGTTCTAGGTACTCGAACGTAAACACCTGCAAGTAAATAACATATGAATATTGACTTTCAAATAGTTAAAAAGGTTTAGCCTATTTTACTTAAGAAGTTAATTCTTTGTTTCAAAGTTAATTTTTGACATTGGTGAGTTAACATTATCTTTTCGATTAACGCGGACCCTCCACATTTTCCATCACAACATGTGTGATGAAAAATGTCTGCAATTATCTGTTAGATAAATCCTATTAGTAAGTAATAATGTTTTAGACAGAATCACTCCTTTAAACCATATCCTTAGATTTCATAAGAAAAAGAAGTAAAAAGAAGACGTCATTATAGTAAGAAATACAGTAGAGTCCCGCAAACTAGGCGTAATGTGGACTGGAAGGGTGCCGAGTTTGTGAAATAGGTTATCGGGAACTAGAGTTAATAAGAACAATACTATTTTTGAGCTTTTAACCGCATTCAGCTTAGAATCTGCTACTTTTACTACTGTCCTTCTGAAGAATTTCCCTTGCAAGGGAAAATATAAAACTAAGATTTTTATGAACTTTTAAAGTGCTGTCTACTTGGAACTCTTTTTATTGCATTATTTAGTTAGCCATTCCTTCTGCCTTGATACATTATTAAGTCCAACACTGCTTCAAACCAAATATTTAATACTAATAAAACATGAACAAACCTTTGGTGTTTCGTGGGTTTTGTTATGGAGCAACTCCATTTTAGAGTGAGAGTGTATAGGTGGGTACTGACTGATGGATATGTTCTTGCGAGACTCGTAGTCTACGAGGTACCTGCCAGGTAGCAGCACTGCAGGGGTACCAGTGGGCCAGAGAGCAGCCACACAGTGTGTCTGTTCTGCACTCAGGTTGGCCACTACTTCCTGCAGAAAAAAATCAGTTGCGGAATTAATATTCAATATAGCATAGAAGAGAAGTATATGAAATGGAGTAACAAATGAAGAGCTAAAAGGAGAGGTAGTTAAGACAACTTAGAGCGCAGAAAAGGTCAGAATACTTTGATATTTTTGCCTCCAGAGGAATCTCCTAGTAAAATGGAGTTGATACAGGAAAGGAGATTCACAGAAAGATCTAGAAGAGGAAATATATGAGGTTATGAGTAATGTAAAGGAGAGAAGCATGAATTGGCAGATGATGGAGGGGAGGAACTGTAAATGGATAGAAGATGTAGACTAAGTTGACGCATAGACCCAGGAATAACCGAAATGGAAGTTTAAAATATGTATGTATTCAAAGTTTCAAGTGATTAGTGAAATGCTAGGCACAATTTGATTTAAATTCCAATGCCAAATTGACGAATTTATGGTGTAGGCAAAAATGATTTGACAAGTTTTTAATCATAATAGTTAATCTCTTGTAACAAGATTTAATCAAATTAAATTACAACAGCATAACAATTGCACTAACAAAGCTAATTTATAATTTATCTTGAACATGTTGGTAGTCCTGTATGATACAAAAGTATTCAAGCATCCTCAAGCTTCTTTAAATAATAGTTTAACAGCTGAGGTTTGCCAAAACGTCAGTCAGCTGAAACATATATATTAAGCAAATAAGCAGTGGGGGAACTTCCCCTCAAACTGCCTAAATTCTGTGAACGGACTATAACAGCATTGACAAATTTTGCTCTTTCAAAATACATACAAATATTTTCCAAAATTACCAGGCATCGGTCATATTTATTTTATACAAACAAGTTAAAAAACAGAACTTTCCCAAAGTACTGACCAAATGGCTGGTAAGACTTGCAAGCCGCAACGTTGCGTTGGAGTGACTGACGCAGATTCTCAACTGTTCCTGGGAGTTTTCCCACGTCTGAGGCGGCCGGAGAAACCCCAGAAGTCGAGCTGTCACTTCACCTGCACAATGCATAAAATTATTTGCACTTTGTTAAGCTTTAAGGTAGATACCTATAGTTTTTGCTGACCTTCTTTTATAAAGGTTTACAAAATAAAGTACCCCTTAACGTTAGTATATATATTCAAACGTTTGAGTCTGTGTCCAAAATATCCCATTTTGAACAGGTAGGAAAAATAGAAAAACTAAGTGCTGGTTAACCAAATAGAACTATACATGCTTGTATTGAATAGACAACCTATTGTTAGACCATTGTTCAAGGTTTGGGTTACCTCAGAATAGAATAGGTACCTAAGGAAGAATTTTAAAGGTGTATCAACAAATTACTCATACACAAGCCCGCTATTATAAACAGGCAGACTGGGCATATGCCAAGGGGCGCCCATGGTTGAGGGGCGCCTGGAAGGCACTGCACGTCCATCTACCGCCCGCACTAGGAAAAAAGGGAGGCGCTGCTTTTGAGTTTGCCCAGGGCTCCATTGACCCTTAACACGGCCCTGCTCATACAAATAATAATGATTATGTCAAAATTAAAAATGTCAATTTTGAATGGGTGTCTGTGGGAAAAGATGCTATTTCAGTCAAAAATTGCATTATTACCAAAAAAAGAGTTAATCAAGTTGTGTTTGTCTGATATTACGCTGGTAATTTTTTTTAAATGGTCACAACAAGTAAAACTTTTCTATTTCTATATATTGGGGCATATTTTGCATTTTCTGTATACTGCATCATACCACACAACTCATGCAATTGGTAAATTTTAGGTAATTAAATTATGTAATATTTACCCCCAAGGTTCTGCTCGGTTCTAGACACTGATGCACTCAGAGCGTTGAAGTCTGCTGTGGTTGCGTTGATAATGCTGACCTGTAAATCAAAAAGGAACTTAAGAGTTATCAATATGTACTTGTTGTTAAGTACTTGCTTTACCAATATGAAAAAATATTTATAACAATGAAAATGTGCCTTAAAATCAAATTTATTTGAATGGTGCACCAATATTCTACAATCAGAAACAATGCAAGGGAATTAAAAAAATACTAAAATATGTACCTACTGAAAATTGTTTTGGAAAGGTTGGAGTACCTGAGAAAAATATACTACCTTTTAGATTTACTCCCTTAAAAGTCTTATATATATATATTAGGATGAAATATATGAATTTTATGTTTTGTTACGTTTGTTGTGAATCTTTTAGAGTCAAGCCTCTAATTTTCTGTGGTAAGCTAACTCTGTCGCATTTCAAATACAGAAATTGAGTGACGAGGTGTTTTCTCATTGGCTGGTCTACTCACATGGTCAGGTTGGGTCCAGTTGGCCGGGTACTTGTACTTGAGGAAGGTGAGGCCGGGTCTACGGTCCAGCTCTCTACACACGTCGGCACTCATCACCTCCTGTCCCTTGTCTCCCCACCACCCGGCCTCCTGCGACGGGGTGTCGTCCTTCAGACCACACACGCCAAAGTTGTCTGTACAGCCACAACGTGATCAGTTAGTAAATTAAATTAGATGAATCCAAGTCAATGATGTTGTGGGTCTGCGTCCCTGTGGTGCCACTACTATAAGTTTATTTATACAGTTCATTCTAGAGCTGTATTGGCTCACCATTTGCTTTATTTGACATGTTTCACACAGAGGTCTAAGGTTGTGCACGTCAAATACAATGTGAAAAAGGTGGTCAATCTCTTAACAAAGTTAGGCTGGTAACTTCTGTATGTACATACTCATAAATATTTTCAAGCAATTTTTAAAACTTAAAATCCACTTATAACAACTATCTAAACACATTTTGTACTGACCATCTTTATGGTGGCACCTAGCGTTCTGCACACACCACGTACAGTGTCCCAGATGCAGTTTGAGGGCCACTGACGTCAGTCCGTGAGGGTTGCCGTGGAGTAGACAGCTGTGACAGTCTCCCAGCGCAGGACACACCCCAGGACATCTGGTGGTCTGCAGGTTGGTGGTGCAGTTTATACCTGCCAAGGTCAACCGAAAGTTACAAACTGCAAACTCTTTGAGCCCTAAAGGTCGTTAAGATTGGTCTTTGAAGGGAGAGCACTTCTGGATGCACAAATAACTTGCCCAAGAAAAGAGTTCCAGGCAGTTGTGATAGCTGAGTAATTTTGTGGAAGCTTGCCTGTGTTGTAGAAACCGATCTACCACTTCGCTCTAAAGAGTAACCCTTCTAGGCTTAGGGACAAGATATCAGATACTGCGTTGCAAACGTTTTAGGTGTGATCACCTGCTTGGAAAACATTTCTTGAGTATTAGGTTGGAACACTACAACCATAAGGTTGGTGTATGGACAATCCTTCTTCCACAATGAAAAACCAATATGGGTCAACATTACCAAATTCCTTCCAACAATCTATTCAAGTATAACAAAATCAGCCAGAACAATCGTGCAAAGACTTTGGGTTAACAATTTGGTAGGATCAGCTGGGCTAAATAATTTATATGATAAGATCCAAAAAATTTTCTGCGATTCTACTTCAGTTGTTTGACCAATTTATTCTATGGCTCTACTTAATATTTGTATAGTATACTTCACAATCTTACCTAACATTCTACCGTAACAAACTTCATCAGCCGAGCACCAACCGCACTCTGGGTCTCCACTACAGGCAGCCAGGCTGTGATGTCTGTAACGTTACCATCACAGGATTGGTTAATTACACTGGGATAACCTTCAACTATTGACAGAGGTAGACATGGTTAACTTCCAGTCAGTTTTAGAGTAAAAATGAATCAATTTGAATTAAACCACTGACAGAGAGTGCTGATGTTGAAAACAAATTTCTGTAATTCATAAACTTTTCAACCAAGCCAAACCAAAATAAGATCTCGTTAACTTAAGCATCTTTTTGCCACGTCAACTATCTAAGTTAAAAAATAAGAAAGAAAATTAGAATTTTGACAGTAGCTCATTCATTTTACCTATGTTCTACTTCAATAAAAAATTAGCAAGAACTTAAAGAAAAAAAGATCAGGAATATAGGCCTAATCCAATTGATTTCAAGTATTTTTGGACAGGAATCTTGTGAAATTATGCATCACATAAGATAAGGGTAAAGCTATAGGCCTAAAGCTGTTTTGTCCAAATTATGAGACAATCGTCATGATATTGCTATGAGAACATTTTTCCTACCTGCTACAAAGCTGCTCCGAGTCGTAATTTTCACCATGTCGCACAGCTACTGTAGGTGGCATGACGTAGGCCAGCAGGTCTGCATTGACGTTGCCGTGGTAACCACCAAACAGCAGCAGTGTGTTGCCGTTACGCAGAGCTGCCGCATGACCAAAGATACCCTGCACCTTGGGGTAGTGGGAGGCTGCAGCAGGGGTACAGTATGGTTATTTATCTACTCATTCATATCATCCCATCAGTTCTTACAGTATGGGAATAGACTTACAAACATAGTTTTACAAACATAAACCAAAAATATCCTTAAAATGTAAAGGTAATTGGTTATCTTGCGAGATTGATCCAGACTTTGCAATCAACAGCATTGTTGGGTTGTTAATAAAAACTGTGTTATCAAGTACCGTAGGCTACTTTTTTTAGGATGTGATCCGAGTCACTTTTAGGTGGCAAGAAGGAATTCATTTAATCATTGTAGCACAATGCAAAAAGAAAGAGACATTGAGTAATTTAAATTGAAGTTATTTCTGACTTGTAGTGTAGGAATTGTCTTTATTCGATATAAATAAATAAACGTCATGATTTTAGAGGGAGCTAGAGAATCATAGCTATTAGGAATTTTTTGTCTAAAAAGGTTTGTTGTATGAAATTGTTTAGGAAATTGTTTAACACAAAGTCAGTTGGCAAGCAGGTTACCTGCCTCAGGTAAATTGAAATACACAAGAGGCATGTACAGTTCGGCCAAAACTTCTGTGTACGGGGACGGGTCGCTACTAGCCAAACTAAAACATAGGGGTACCGGTTATTGGCAATGCTGGTGGTAGGGGTGAGTGAGTAGCAAGCCAAAAATGTTTTCACAAAAGTACCCCCACCAACCCCCTCGCCCAGACCGAATCTGGTGGTGCGCACTGAAACTTTGGCCAAACTGTAACCTGTCTGCTTACTGGCATTGTGTCACGGCTTAAGTATCAACAATATTCACTGTAATGCCAAAGGGATAAATTTTCTGAAACCCCCAATGACAAACGACTCAGTAGTCTATAGTGCCAACACCGATATATAGTATAAATTATTTTTCCCATAATTTTCATTTTACAATTTAGTTACATTAATTGTTGGAAAACATAGAGCTCACTCAGTTGTGTGGACTAAGGTTATCTCATATGAAACTTTTGAGATAATTTATTTAACAACCACACCAGTTATGTCGCCTAATATACATAGTTAAACACTCACAGTTGACGGTGTTGTCCAGAATGTCGTGAGTCACCCATGTGTGACAGCCGAGGTGGTACAAGTAGAGATGCTTGTCGTAACAAATCTCCTCTCGGTTGTGACGATGCGTGTAACCTCCAAACACGACCATGTAGTTACCTAAACACATTATGAAAAAGGATTAGAAATGTTTCTGTCACGTAAAGAATCACTACTGCTCACTTTTGAATCTAGAAAACTGTACACTAATCCACCCAATTTTAAGGATTTGCAGGTGGCAGAAGAAATTCATTACCAAACAATGTGGACAGTTACTAATAGGGGAACCCTGTATAAGCAGTAGCAGACCAAGACAGCAGCATCTAGAAGGTGGGGTAGAGTGCAGAGCCACTCAAGTAAATGGGCCGAGGAGTGCAAGAGATTTTAGGCAAAAGGAATAGGAAAGGGAGTGTAAATCGGCATATTGTATGCAAACCGCAACACCTGGGAGATGGAGGTATGGTTACTCTTGACTAAGTAGGGGTTTGTAAAAAGTCACTTGTATCATGGACACTCAAAGGCTAGGAGAATGAACTCTGATGTAGACTGTGTTAGGTTAGAATCTTAAGGCTGAAGAAGAAGCGGCTAACTTAGACAAGGATAACTGAACTCTGAATACAACTCTGGTCTTACAGGTTGGAATTTAAGCTTTAGGTCAACAAACCTATTTCAATAATACATTAAAGACCTACATCTCCCAGATTCAAAACAGGGAAACGAAACAGAACATAAAACTAAAACCACTCATCCACGTATTTGACTAAAATTAACCTGTTGCATTTTAAGTGCATTTTCAGTCATATAAAGCAGGCAGTCATAGTCATAGATAGGTTTTAAATCAGCATTGTTTGTTTTAAATCTTACTCTCTACCATACAAAATAAGGCACAAAGCAAAATCCGAGGCGTACCTATAACAGTGGCGCTGTGGAAGGCTCGCTCTCTAGGTAGGTAGTTGTCTCGCAATTCCGAGCGAGGGTAATGAATCTCTGCCCAATGGCGGCTCTCCAGGTGAAAGGAGAACATACGGTCACTCAGCTTGCTGAAGCGAGCAACGTTGGTCACAATCCCAGCGTACACCAGTAGTGTGTTAGCCTAGAATTCGGATTACAACTAAATAGAGAGTAGATTAAAGAAATTGACATTATATCTTGTCCACGATACTTAGCTAAGCAGAAGAAGCAGAAGATTATTTTCCGACCTCTATCCTATTCTCGAACAGATGCATGACTAGAATGTAACACACTCCTCCAATTAAAATTAATCCTGGTGTAGGCTCAAATAACAATAGCTTGATTTCTAATCCAGGCTTGTGAATGACCTTATGATCTGTTTTCACAGGAATAGATTGCCTTAAAGTAGTTATACCGTATCATTGTTGAATGAGGCGTGCGGTTACAACGCCTGCATCAAAATCTATAATTGCCTAGGTCAGATTATTGGCTCAATTTTTATTTGTGATTGAGCTATCAGTTCAATATTATTTAACGATAAAATGCCAAAAGAAACACATTCCAACAAACATTTATTACATTTATTGAGATTCAAAGATCTTTTGGTAATGCTGAAATATATTTTTTTTATTGTTAATCATTTGCAAGGACACTGATTTCGTGAAAAAGATAGAAGAAGGTAAAACGTCAAAAAGAGATAAGAATCTCAAATTGAGTAAGAGAGAAATTTTGTGTGATTCTTCTTTTACTCCTGATTTATTCTTGGACTTACCTGAGGATTATACACTGTAGAGTGAGCCACCATTCGGACATCAAGCTCCTTGCCTCCTCTCGGAACTACTTCCTCCCACTCCTCTGTTCCTCCCACTGTAAAAAGACATTCGTAAATACATAAAGCCTATAGTATTAAATGTTTATACTATGTCTTACACATGAATAATAGTTAATTTTTATGAGTATATTAACCTAGTGGTATAACCAAATTTAAAGAGGTTTCAATACAAAAAGTTTAAGTTTTATAGGTAAGTTAACATTATCAGTTATTTGTTTGAAATTCATTGTTGGTGATGGTGAGTTAATGTTGTTCAAAGGTTTATTGCGGACATTTTCCACCACGATGGTAAAAAAATACACAAGAAGGAAAGTCTACTTGTAGTATCCAAACTCAATGGTAGGCCTATGGAATGGCTATTTGGAGTATTTAAAATAAAAGGTGCATCAGCCTAATTCTGGTGACGACCCTAATTATTGGTTATTCATTTTGTAGTAAATTATGCTCTTAATGATATTAATCCGATTGTTCTTCCCTTTTTCTCTGAACAGTATTTGTAATGTGCTATTTTAGATGATTCGTTGACTAACATATGTTGCCACTCTTGTTTACTTTTTTTGTTATCTCGCAAATAATATTGTTGTGTATCCACATGGGTTAATTTATTAGTTTACAGTTTGATTTCGTTTATATCTGGAGCAGGGAGCTCAGCCAAAAGTAGTTTTTAACTTTGAGATTTTGTAACATTATATCCAGTACCAAATGTGGTTTGAGGTAATTCTGGAAACCAGCATTTGCGTCACCAGCCCCACCACCTTGAGGTTAGATATGGTCGGTCCTTGTGAACCACCAACTTACAGTTAGAGTCAGCCTAGGCGCAGTCCAGCCAACAACTAGCTGGTCATGATTCTCCCGCTGATATTAGCAGGTATGTGGTGATAGGCTAATAGGAGATTTACATTGCCCGACCCTTGGTTCAGTAGTAGGTAGCCCTCCCTCTAAATTATACCTTTTTAATAATGGGGATTTCTCTGTGATATTAGCGTAGTCATGTATTAGTAAGATATTATAATTTGTATTTATTTGCTTATCCGCTTAATAAATGAACCCAATTAACATCACGCCCGAGTATTTATTCTGGACACCCCACCCACTAGCGGATACAACAATATCATGGGGACCAATGAACTCATATGGCCCATGTTAAATTTCTAAAAGTTTAAATTAACGAAGGGAAAAGCCCTGTGGTCCGATTTGTACCATTTCAGATTTATACCTTCCCATGGTTGGCTAATATCACTGTGCTAAATTTCATGCAGATCTATCGCTTTAGCCGTTCAGGAGGAGTATTTGTAAAACAAAAGCAGGAGTGTAGTATGAGAGCTTTGCTTCGCTCCGCTCAATAAAAATAGCTAAAACAATAATGGAGGAGAGCAATGTTGGCTGAATTTGACAATGTCTTTAACTCATCTCATTATTATCAGTTGTTACATTACTTATAGTAATCATTTAATCCATACTATGAATTAAGTCAGAAAAGTATAGTTTACCATTTACAGTTAATGTTGAACTGTGACTGTGATTGCTTGAAAATAATAAATTAAAGAAGTTAATTTGCATTCAAAATTGAAAGGTGTTAAATTTGCAAACAAACTTGATTAAAACTTTGCTTTGCCTGATAAAAAGACTAATATTTACACTATCCTAATACTAAGACTAATATTTACACTAACCTGTGGACAGTTTTATCCTGAATATCTTAGGGGAGAACATCCCCTGTTCAGTAGATCCTCCGACCATGTACAACCAGCCGTCGTCTGCTAGAGTGAGAGTGTGGCGGGCCAGTGGTGGAGGCTGCAGTGCAGAGTTCACAGCTCTCCGCGTCCATCTACCCCCCACCACCTGGTACAGCCACAAGTCCGAGCCTAAGCTGCCGTCCTCCAGAACGCCTCCGTGCAGCACGAAGCCTCCGGGGTAGTTACTAGCTGCATGGGAGTACCTTGGTGTCGGCTTTCCCAGGGTGAACTCTTCGACACCAACATGTCTAAGGAATCTCGCACTTTGACCTTCAGGCTGTTTTTGTGTCCTCGAGTTGTTATTGACATTGGTCGAGGTGAACAACAAGGTTGAGAAAAAATTTTGACGGTGATGCAACCCCCACTCCTCCCCACCACCGACAGAAGCCCATCTTCCAACGGCTGCTAGTCTTTTGGCGTCTAATTTATCGTTCGCACCAACAACACTACTTATTATTTTCCCGTCTTCATCCTCCCACTGGCTGTGGTTGAAGCGGAAAATCACCAAGTCTCCAAGAATGGTGTTCAGGTTGTAACCTCCGAACACGTAAAGAGCGTCGGTGTCGGAGATGTAAATGGCCGAGTGTGCAGTTCGAGCGTTCACACCTTCTCTGTGCAGATGATGCCACGAGTTGCCCACCGGGTCGCCCTTGTACAAACTGCATGCTTGGCCAGAGTATCCGGTAAAACAATGACACCGACCCAAGAGACATCGTCCTCGGCCCTTGGAGACGCCGCAGTGGTCGGGACAGAGAGGCTGAGAGCAGTCCACTCCTCCCCACCCACTCTCACAGATACATGAGTGAGCCAAGCATGTCCCGTGACTCGAACAGTTTGCTGGGCACTCTGTGATGTAATACTCGGCTCGGAATCCATCCAATACGTAGTTTGTGTCGCTGTATAGCAGTATCAACATCTAGAACAAATATTATTTTACATTGGAGGCTTTTATACGAGGATAATTGGCAGATGTTGAGTTAATTTTACCAATTGACTCCCCTGAGGTGCTATACTATCAAACTTCCATCACAACATTTTAAGATCAGTTTTAAAAATTTTTGAGTGGGATTGAGATAAATTAAACTGTGAAGATAACCTGAAAACAACACTAAGATTTGTTCACATCTTAGTCCTAGGATCACAGCATGTCATAAAACAGTTACATCTTTATGACATCAGGATATGCTTTGTATAAAAATGTTAGCATTAATCAAAGTTGACTGCAGTTTTGTTGGTTGCATTTTTATTAGTTTCATTTGAGTAACTTAATCTGAGTTTTACGTTACTACTCCTGTAGAGTAAAGGTACCATAGTTATATAAGTACGGTAGTTTGTTGTGAAGACAATGATCATAAAAAGTTCAAGGTCTCGGTTCATCATAGTTTGCTCTGTCGATTAACAAAACATCCTAACTTACTGCACATTGTTACATTGTTACTGTTACATTTAAAATATGAAGTAGGGTAACTTACAAATCCAGAAGTGGCAACAACAGTTTGGGGGCGAGTTCTACCGCTAAAACTTCCGAGAACAGGGGAGTTGAATGAGTCTCCGTCGTAAACGTACACATAATCATACGAACACTCCGTTCCCATCAGAGTAAAATTGAGTGATATAAACTGCTCACTGCTGTTGGCTGAAAGTTTTAACACTGGTTATTGGAAAATAAACTTTGAATAAAAACTTCATAACGCAACCTACAAGGTGTTGATTATCAATCTTAAATTTGCAACACAATCATAAATAATGTAATGCTGGTAAACATTCTTCATGTTCCTGAGTCTCTACAAGGCAGTTTTTATAATATTATAATTATTTAAGACAAAACTGCATTGGTAAAAAATAGGTCCACCCCAAATTCAGCTAAACGCTTTTGAAAATGTAGTGACATAGATAATAATAGATTACCAAAATTCCCAAGTTAGCTACCAAAGCTCAAAAAAAATTATTTTTATAGCAGGACCTTGCAGAATATATCTTAGTTTTTAAAATGATCTAGAATTTGGCAAAGCGTTCATTCCCCACTTAGCCCTCGATTCTTGAAGTGCAAAGCATGTGTTTGTGTTACTTAAATTCAGTACCGGTACCAGTAACTTTTAATTGTAAAATAGAGATAGGCCTATACTCGACAATCGTCGTAGTTTTCAAACATGTTTACCTTTTATGAGCCACTCGCAGTGAGAGTTCTGAGTATAGTTGGAGCCTGGAGGTCCATCGGTGATGACACCCCAGGTATCCGTGTGAACTTTTCTTGTCCTATCACAAGGTCCTGAGCTTCCGCTGTGCATCACCGCTCGTCCCAGCGGCCCCACAACAAGCACCAACACCAGCAGAGGCCATTGCTCCATCACGGCATGCTTCAACTTGAGCCTAAATGAAAATATTGTGTGGATGAGTTAGGGGCCCATGCACGGTCAATATTAATCGTACAATATATTGCGCTATCTTGTTAAAGAGCGACCATACTCAGTTCACTAAATTTGTGGAACCCACAGTTGAGTTAAAGTTGTCAATCCTGGTTTAGTTTCAGGGCAGTAACATGTTTTAGTTTAGTTATCATGTGGTGTGATTTTGCTGCAGCGTTTGTGATAATCCCATTGCTGAGGAAGCCAAAGAAGAGGAAAAAAAGGTTGGATGAAGGAGTGGTTGAAAAAAGGAGGAAATTTACTCACGAAAGACTGCTGAATGAGCTTTGAATACGTGAACCAAGTGACATGCTCAGATTAGACGCAGGATCGATTACCTGACAATTAAGTTTCACAACCATTGGTTGAGCCTCATAGTAAGAAAGTCGATGCGAGGGATGCCATTTACGTTAGTCATCATTTGTTTAGGCCTATAGCTTTATGCCATCTTGCTACAGGAAATTCTTTTGAAGATCTCAAATTCACAAGTTGCGCTAGTTGAAACATTGCTATTGAATTGTTTAAAACAAAATTTTTACACAAAAACGACCTAAGTTACCTCGAGCAGATGAATTGGTAGACTGACAGGATATTGCGCAATACTAAGTTACACTGTTCAATGTCTGGAAGATTGTGCAATAATTTTCCAACTTATTGAATTAGGGAATTGAACTTTTGCGTCCAATCAAACCTCAAAAAAGAGGCCTATGCACTAAGTTATGGCTTGTTAACAGACGTTGAGGGTTGAAATGAGGACGATCATGTCGCTATTGAAGTGGCAGTGGCATAGCTTCTATTACTTGTATTTTACGAGAATAAATTCCATTTTTTAATAATTAAGTTAATGTGATAAAGTTAATAGTTTATGTAAGTTATCGTAGTTGAGTTACTGTATTTTCTAAACGGCATCAAAGTCCATTAATTTGCTTTTACAAATCTAATTATTGCATACTGTTTTCTGATTTTGCTATAATGTCGTCATGTGTGATTTTGTTTATTTAGCATCGAATGTAAACCGCTAACAGCTGTTTTCACTCCACAAACCTTCCTCCCCTTTCTGTGTTAGTCGCTGCTAGAACTTGGACGCGTCCAAACCACAAATATCTGTATAGGCCTAGGTAACTCAACGAAACTGAAGCTTGATATTAATTATTTAAATGTACGGCCACTTAGGAATTTCTCCGACAAAAACTGATTGCATTTTCGGATTCAGGGCGAAAAAAATTTTAAGTAGGCCTAAGTTAACTTAAACTTAGACATAAAAAATTTAGCTACATCATATCCCGGTGTAGACATATTAAATAATTACCGCTAACCTATGTTTGGTTATCTAACTTATCGGATCGATATTTTGTGATCGATAATACCATCGACAATTAACTTTGGCCTAACTTAGGGCCTACTTAGACCGTGGAGTCAGAAAGGATTTCAATTAGCCTTTATTTGAAACTAGTTCTAGAATAGCCTTATGTTTGTGTCATAAATAAGTACCATTTTAAAATTTGCCATAGATTAAGAAGTTTTCTCTAAGAAGTCAAATAAATTACTAGTTTGACAGAACCAAAACAATAAGGTTAGGTTTTCCACTGTAGCCTAAATAATTATCAGAGGGAGAGATGACTCTGGAATTCGATCAATACTAAATTACTCATATTCGACACAAATTTATTGGGAATAAAACCGTTTGTTTGTATACCCCACCTAATGTTAACGTAAAAAAAATAATCTAAAAGAGTAAATTAATTACCTTGCCCATAAAAACATTCATCCAACGTGACACTTGATTGATTTAAGTAGATGGAAACAACTACACTTAAATTTACCTGAAAGAAGTTTGATGGTTCCAATAACACAAATTGTTCTATAATATCATCACACTTTATGTTTACTTAATCAGCAAACAAAAATTTTAAATCTCCATTTCGCATTTACTCCAGAAGGACTATCATCGGCCATGAATCTCTGCATTTCTGATTTCTGATCTGACTGAACTGAACTGACAGCGTGACGTCATGCATGAAAACAAAAAACATCAGTTCGAAATCACAGCTGGATGGCCATGTGCTGCCATCTGCGCTAATATCGATGCGCTCGAACATGGCTCGTTGGTCTAGGGGTATGATTCTCGCTTAGGGTGCGAGAGGTCCCGGGTTCAAATCCCGGACGAGCCCTAAAATTTTTGTTGCAAAACACTTGCACGAGAATTCAAGATGGGTTTTGAGCTGGCAGAAAAATTTATATCATTACATTTTTATAAAGAATCGAGTCATTTATTTAAAAAAAATAATATTTTAAATGTTGGCACAGTCATAGATTGAGGATACTAAATAATTAATTTTATTCCAGCCTAAAAAAAATTGTTTGGTAAAACCTAAGGGACTATGTTTTATCTATGGTAAAACCCAATAACTAGTTAACAAACAAGGTGTTTTACTAAAAAGTATGACAACAAAATTTGTCTCCTGCTATATAAATTGTCAGTTCAATTTCCAGAACAACTTTTTACCAAAAATCTGTAATACGATGTTGTTTAAAAAACACAAATTTTTAGCCCACATATGTATAAGATCTTTATTTTTTTCAGTTTTGTATAAGAATTTGAATTTATTAAAAGTTAATTTAATAAATTCAAATGTGAAAAACACGTCCTTATCCTATGGTTAAAATTGTACCCAAAATGTCTTGAAAAATAAAATGTATTTTTTATCTGTAATTTTGCATCCATTAAGATCTACAGTATTCAGATAATATTTTATTTTAGCGAATTTCCCATATAGGGAATATTTTAGCGAATTTCCCATATAGGGAATAAGCTATTACCGTAGTACTCATGGTAAGACCTGGACCCGGGACCGATTTTTTTTTTCGTTTTGAGGTCCCTAGAGGCCAAAAACACCATCCGTTCAAATTCATATATATATATATATATTTATATATATATATATATATGTGTCCGTTAGCGCGATAACTCGAGCAAAAATGATCCGATTTTAATGAAATTTGGTACAAACCTGTAAACCTACGTTTATTCGAACGAGTTCGCGAACCAGCATGATTGGACCATGGGAACGGGGGTTTATGGGGTAAAAATGGGTTTTTCCCATTTTTGACCCAAAAAACATAAAATTTTGCAATTTCTTTCCAAACAATTTTGTAGAGCTTAAAAAAACAAATAATTTAGTATATTGAAGCGTTATAATGCGCCTAATGGTTACGGAGAAAATTCCAAAAAATTGTAAATTTAAAATTCTCATGTTATTCTTATGGAGAATAAGTAAACTGTTGTAGTTTGCTTGTTTATTAACATGTTTTGCCCAAATTTGGAAAATGTTTTTATTTCTTACTAACTATTAACATTTTACATAAAAAAACACTTTCACCCTCCCTGTTGCAGCAAACCTAACTATGTGTTAAACTGATTCTATTTAAATAGGGAATAAATGTGATATTTTTAAGGAGATATTTTAGTGTAAATCCAATCAGGCAAATGGAAATTCGCTTAGTCTGCAGGTTTGCTGCGGCGGGGGTATTTAAATATTCAAATCCTGTTTAACACAACAAATTCTTCGGTAAACATTACTCAATTTTAATATCATCGACTATCGAGGCACAACAGATGTTTATATCCTCTAAAATACTGAAGACAACATTTTGACCTTTTGACAAGACAGAAGAGCTAAGGTGCAAGCAGACGTCCTTGTTTATATAACCAGGAAAGTTACAAGCAATAGTTCCTGAAGGTCATGGGACCATTTCCGGTTTTTCTCTCGAGGCACCCACACTCCATACAATACAAACAACCATAATATTCCAAAGTACTACTATTATTATTTTTTTAGTATCATTCTACTATAGGGCCTACTATGTTTGTAGTATATTTAGTACCGTCATTGACTATATTATATAGTCAATGGTACCGTACAAAAATTTTATCTGTGGCTCAACTATACTTAACAGTTACCTACAATTATGTCAATGTCGCTGGGATTTATATTTCCGACCAATATTTTTTTATAAAAAAGTGTTGTTAAATATTTTGAGGTGTATTTAAATGTGAATCTTAAATTAACCATACTTTTTTATCTCAGTGAAAATTTGTATACTGATCAATTTTACAAAAATATTTTGGGTTTTAAGAGAAGTACTTTACCCTGTTTAATAAATTGTCAAATTCCTTGAGTTTCTAATATTATATTAATCTTTGGGTAAAGCAAGTATAATTTGTGTTGCTGTTAAACTACAAAAATACAGATTTAGAAAAATCTTGTACAGTATGTTAATTCACATAGTTTTGATCAAATTTATTTTTAAAATATTCAAAAAAATAAATAAAAATCACCGTGGAGGAAACTATAGTTCTTTCATTTATTTTTGACATTAAATACCATTTAATGACTTTAGTTTTCTGCAATTAAGACACATAAATGTGCCTTTTAAATACGCAAACTTGTTTTATAACATAGAAATAATCACCCATTTTTTGGAACACAATTGAGGGAATCTTTTCAAATTCAATGTACCTAATTGAATGATTCTTATAATTCTTATGATTCTTATAAATTGGAGGTTATCAAACTAAACCTTTTCCATTTGTGGAGACAAGTATAGGTTGATTGAAAGAAACACATATATAAATATACTTTATCACAAGACAATACAAATATAAAGTCAACAGCATTTTATCAACATGTACAATACTGAGAATATTTATCTTACAAACATAGTGATAAATGTGAACAGAGTGAATGGTGGTTTTATACATTTCAATGAGCTGATAAATTTATGTGTAGCTTCCTATTTGATGCAATCATTCTGATGAGATTACTCATTAATAAATCGTAAAGCAAAATTGACAGTTGATAAAGTGAAATGAATGATTAAACATTGCTCATAGCCAAAGCATCGCTAATGTTTCTGAGAAATGTAGTCTTTATTCATTGAGTCTATCAGTCAACACTATTCTGCTATGAAATAAATAAACAAATTCCAATCAAAAACAAAATTTAACTAAAATAATATCTATATATAGGTAAGCACGTTTCTTTAAAAACTTTTTTCTCAGCTCGTGTGCATCACAGGGAAAATCTACGCATAATGTTAGAAAGATATTTTCCTTTTATATGTGCAGAATCCCTTTATAAATTAAGATAGGCCCAAAAATAAGCTAAAAAAAATTGATTTGAAATTTGAAAAAAATTAACATGGGCCTTAGCACATTGTTCGTTTAGCTTACCAGCCATGACTGCGTGTGAGACGTACCAACATGATCGTGCTGCTATGAAGCACAAAGTACTTGCCGGTGGTATAACCGCCTACATGGCTTCCGCTAGTTTCAACTTTGGAGGCATAGTAAAGAAGAAATATCTGCAGTATTTTCTGGCTGACAGAGCAATTGTCACCGTTTATAAAAGACTATTTTGTATTAAAAACAACAAAACCTATGGAGAACTAAATTTGGAGGAACTTTGTGATTTTGATCATAATTCGTTTATTGACTCTTTAACTGATTCAGAAATTTTAGAAGCTTACCAACTCCATTATGGAGAATATCAGTCGCCAGAATACATTGCCGCTGGCGTACTGTTTGAAGAAAAGGCAAGATGCTCCTTTCATGTTGATTTAGCGAGTACCGTTCAGCAGATACTCCATAAGAAGATAGATCGCCCAATTGAAAAGATAACTGCAGCAACTTCATGGGCCAATGAAAATAAGGCTGGAGAAATTGAGCATCCACAAAAATTTTCAACAACAAAGATTCAAGCTGGACCGAAATTGGTGGTTAAAGATGAAGACATCACTGATGAAGAGTTTGAGAATTCTCAGATAAGTGAAACTGAGATAAATGAGATTCAAGCATCTCTTGAAAGTATAAAATATGATGAATCCTTCAATGAAATGTGGCTTCGAGAAAAGAAGATGAAAGAAGTCATTGATTCTAAAGATCTGAACATTGACTATTGTGATGAAAAGCCAACCTTCATAAGACCAAAGAGAGCTTTTTCTGAATACGATGCTGATTGCATCGAACTCTGCAAGATTGATGCTGCTGTCTGCATCTACAGTCCTCCCCATAGTGGGAAGTCAACCTATGTGAATGGAAGATATGGCTATCTGTTTGACACAGATGAATTGTTTCACACACCGTTAACTGATCAAGTGAAACAGCTAGCAGTCAACGGGATCATCACTAATCGACCCGAGATGGGAAAATGTGCAAGAAAGTCCATCGCCATCGTTCCGTTGAAGCGGAAATTCATCGAAAGATGCCTGAGAAGAAACTTGCGACCAGGAGCAACGTGGTATGAAGATATTTTGAACCAGTTGCACCATTACACTGTCGTTAAGTTAACGAACAGGAGTGTAGCCTCAGCACTCGATGTCATCTAATGCCCTAGTATCCAGACTAGTATTTTAACTAGGCTACCCTAGTATCCAGAAAGTCCTTGCTTAGTTGACTTTATCACTAGATGAAATCGAGTGCTGAGGCTACACTCTTGTTGGTTAACTTAACAACAGTGTAATGATGCAACTGGTTCAAAATATCTTCATACCTTGTTGCAGTGGTAAATTTTAAGTGTAAAATGTTGAATTTGAAAATGAGGACAGTAATTTAAAAAAATATTGTATTAAAATGTAATTTATTTTCCAATTAACTTTCAATATTAATCTGATTTAAATCATCAAATAAATAATATTCAGGTACGATAGTAAATTCTCATCCAAAATCTAATTTGCATCTTTTTAACATAAGGCTTTGTTTCAAAACAGGCTTTTATTTAACGTACAATGCGTTGTTAGAAAAGAAACTTAATGGAATTTGAATTAAAGCTGCCAAGAAGTTTATGAAAGAGCAAATGCAGGTTATATACATACATTTAACAGTAACAAACTTTTAATGTTTTCCCACCATTAGCTAAAT